AGTAAAGCTAAAAATAGTGTTTTTGGTTCTGATTAACCATCGAAAGAAAAATTTGTTCTGGTGTTGTTAATTTCCATTAGATCCAGACAAACTTATAAATATGCTGGGTTTAATTTTATTTAATAAATTAAAATTTTTTTTACAACAGAAGAGGTAATTCAAACTTTCTGCCTATAGGAAGGTTATTAATTACTATCTTAATCAATTTAGTTAGGTTTAATTTGGTATGATTAAGTTTGCCTTCTCTATTATTTTGTTTTCAAAATTTACATTTCTAGACTTCATATTTGGAAAAAGGAGTATCAAAAGCATTTTGGATAATTTTATTTAAGAAGTCTAATAGACTATTAACCATTCAAAACAACTAGTGATCATGCCAACAGCACACCCTACCACTAGCTTTAGGCCTTTGTGAGGTCACTGTAGAACCCAAAATATATATATCTCTATATCTAATATATATATTTTTTGGAGTGTAATGTAATTTTAAAATTACTTTTTACATAATTCGAACATCCAACCTTTATCTTGAGAGTGTGATATAATTTTAAAATTATTTTTTAGAACATCCAAATTTTTTTAGTGAAAGATATATATCTTGAGATTTGAGTTATGGCTAATATTAGTCAGGTAAAGTTTAAAATAAAATTATTCTTGAAATTAAAAAAAATTAGAATAAAATTAAATCTACACATTTATTTTAACTCTTTCATTGTTATGGTAGGTAAAAGCAACTCTTCAATTATTCCTCACTTAAATAAGCATATAATATTGTGTTGCTCTTCCTTTTATTATTGTTGCGTCTCACATGGGCACACCTAAATCTCACTATCATTTGTATTAATTATTTGTTAACGCCTATTAATAATAGACACTATTGAGGTTATGGAAATAAAAATACTGAAATTGAAATTGAAATCTTAAAAACGATAGAGACAAAATTGATATAGAATGACAGTATATTTTAAAAAGGTCATGAGTTTGAACCCCATCTCACATGTTGTACTAAAAAAAATCAATTTTTTTTTATATCCGCTAGCAACCTCCACCTAACCCTAGAACATTTGGTGGTGGGATAACTCTATGTTAGGCTGCCAATTAGAATCTTCTCAAAATTTTTTTTAAGAAGAGAAGAGAGGATCAATTCTTCATGACCTCATCTACTCAACAGATTCTATTGGAATTAGGCCATTAAATACAATACACATCCCTAAATTGTAGATAAAATCCAAAATGCATGTTCAATATGCTAAAATGCTACAATAGCCATCTCTAGCAAAACCCCAATTTCAAAAAAGTCCATGAAAAATGACCAAATTGTACACCATTTCACCAAAGTGCAAGCAAAAGGTGTCTAAACCAAACCCTAATTTCAAAAGTAGAAGAAATTAATAAATGTACACATAAACTCTCCGTCCCACACCATACATCACACTAGATAGATATAATATTCATGGAATATGATTCACTCTCAAGATGCCTTGGTCGTGAAATGGTAGACACGCGATACTCAAAATCCCGTACTAAAGAAGAGCGTGGAGGTTCGAATGCCCATTAAATTGTAAGGAATACGTTCTGCAGTGGATCACAAAATCTTGGCGATCTTCTATCATAACAATTTAGTCATTATAGAGACCAAAAGTGTTAATTTAGTAAGAACTAAATTGTTACAACTTTTGAACTACAAAAACTAAATTATTACAATATACTAAAGTTTAATAACTAAATTGTTGTCAATTCGAAGATGCAAGAACTAAATTATTATAAACTAAAGTTGAAGAACGACAACTAAATCATTATTTAAAAAAAAACCCATGAAATTCTAGAACCCATTTTCATATATATCATTAAAGGATTGTAGAAATGACAGCAAATTGTTTGGCATACAAACAATTGAACCTCTTGATTAGATTGAAAGTGATTTTTCTCTCTCCCTTTCAGTTCAAGTAGGGGATTTCTTGTTTCAAACTTTTTGAAGAAAAGAAGAATAGGCATAGGGTTTGGATTGATGACTTTCAAAAACCCAGTTTTTGTTTCGGAATGCATCTCTTTCTTCTTTTGATGTTAAAATGGCACTTAGAAAATGCTTTGTCCCCTTTGCCAATTTTGGGTCATTTTCTTCCCTTTCTACCCTTTTTTTCCCATCTCTTCTTTTTGCCCATCAATTCCTATTTCTTGAGCCAAAAACCCTTCTCTCTTTGATTTCTTTTGATTTGATGGTTTAGATTTTTTTTTCTTCACTTAACCCCCTCTCTTTTCTTGGACATGGCCATCACAGACTCCAATGCCTCTAAACTTGACACGTGTCCTCCAACTAGGGCTTCCACACTCAAAAATCATTTTTTCTCCTTCCATTTCAAACACACAACCCCTAAACCCTAGTTATGATCATCATAATTACTTTTTGTTTTTTTGTCTTTTTATAATTTTTTACCATCCATAATTGATAGCACTCTTAATTAGCTCTTATCTAATTAGTACACTCGCGCCTACCATAAGACTTTGACATGCGAAAGATATCAATCGTTTTTGGTATATTAAACTCATTCAAAGATTCAAATAAAGAGAAGATCTCATGATAAGTGATACTATAAGGCCTCGTGTCCTTACCAACTGGATCACCCCTTGAAGGCATTATCATCCTAATTACTTATAAGTTTGGATATTAGTAATTACATACCCAACTTTATTTTTATCCCACACATCAAGTTTGGATAATTAGTAATTACGTACCCAACTTTATTTTTATCCCACACATCATATATATATAACCATTAAATAAAAAAAACAATTATATTGTATAGGTAAGCCTAAGGGTGTAAGCCGGCCATTTGAATTAGAGTTTATATTTCAATGGTGAGTGCGATACTCTTAATTATAAGTTGTAGGTTCGAAATCTCTATCGTTTACCGTCATTGTAATAAAATGACAAATCTTGAAATATAATGAATCCTACAAAAACTAGAAACGTTGTCCGATTTAGTACAGCTGAATAGATAAGCCACATATTACTTTCTCCCCCGCGTGAAAGTTCAACCATGTATTTGTTGAACTAAAAAGAAGATTTTGTTTCATTCTGGATGAACTAATTAAAGCAAGTTATGGAGAAATGGATGAAACCCAATGGTTAAAAAGGTGCAACAAAAATGAAAGTTTCAAAAATTAAGTACTTAAAACAGAGCCAAAACATGACCCAAAATCAAAAGTTGAAAATTAAATCACATCTGATATTGAAAAAGAAAAAAAAAAGGAAGGGTTTGCAGTTGGCTTGGGCTTGTCACCAACCCATAAACAAGCCCTCCCATTCTGCATCATTTAGAAAGTTTGTAACATTCCAAACCCAATATAGAATGCTCCTCTATTGCCTTTCCTCTCTCCTTTTTAAAGCTCTGCCAATGGCTGTTTTTTCTCTTCATTATTATGTCATAGCTCAAACTCAAAGAAGAAGAAGAGAATTTTGATTATTCAACTCAGCTGAAAGAAGAAGAAGAAGAAGGAAAATGGGGAGAGGAAAGATTGAGATAAAGAGGATTGAGAACTCAAGCAACAGACAAGTGACATATTCCAAGAGGAGAAATGGGATAATCAAGAAGGCCAAAGAGATTACTGTTTTATGTGATGCTCAAGTTTCTCTTGTCATTTTTGCAAGCTCTGGGAAGATGCATGAATATTGCAGCCCTTCTACGCCGTAAGCTAACATATATATATAGAGAGAGAGAAAAAAATATATTATATATATCATATGTTAAATTTTGATCTTTTTTTTTGGGATCTTGTTGTTGAATCTTAATTAAAGGTTGGATTTTGTTTGAAATTTGTTTTGTGGATGTGTGTTTTTGAAGGTTGATTGATATTTTGGATAAGTACCACAAGCAATCTGGGAAGAGGCTGTGGGATGCTAAGCATGAGGTTTCTTTCTCTCTCTCTCTCTCTCTTTCTCTCTCATGAGCAAGATCTAAGCTTTGATATGGATAATGAAACCCTAAAAGCTAATTTGATATGGGTTTCTTTTGTTTAGGCTGTGGGATGATCCTCTCTCTCTCATGAGGGTCAAAGATCTAAGCTTTTTGATATGGGGCAGCGAAACCCTAAAAAAAGTTTGGATCTTGGCTTTGGAGTTTGTTATATATATATATATATATATATATACATACAAATACATACATACTAAAAGTATGTTAGAAAACTTGGCGTTTGAAGTCTATGATTTGATCTAGAAATGGGATTTTTTTTTTTTTTGCTAAAAGTATGTTAGAAAATATGGGGTTTCAAATCTATGAATTGATCTAGAAATGGGATGTAATGGGTTTTTTTTTTTTTGAAGATTTTAAAGTTTTTAATAGTTTATTAGTATTTTGCATCAAAAAGGAAAGTTGAAACTAAGAGAAATGTAACATCTATGAACAGATCTGGTGATAAATGTGTCTTGGTTTGATGAAAACAAAACAACCTTCTCCACCTGATGGGTTTTTCAACTGAAAGCTAAGACACCCCAAAAAAAAAAACATTCATTTTCCAGTTTCATTCTTCTAGATCTCTTCCCTAGAAACTAGGGCAAAACCCAAAAGTTCTAAGTTAAATTTAGTCTTTTATAAGTTTAAGTTTAAGGAGTAATTACTGTATATTTAATTATTTATTCATATTCGAAATTGCCATGGGTAAATTTTATTCTTTTTTATATATATTCTTAACACTCCCAAAATGTTTTTTTTTTCCTACAGAATCTGAGCAATGAAATGGATAGAGTCAAGAAAGAAAATGACAACATGCAGATTGAACTCAGGTATATATATGGAGAATTTTTTGGATAATATAAAAATAGAATTATTTTCTCTAATTAAATTTATTATAGTGAATTAATAATAAAAAAAATAATGTATATGATGATGACGAAGCAGACACCTGAGAGGGGAAGATATAACATCTCTGAACTACAAGGAACTCATGGCTCTTGAAGAAGCTCTTGAAAATGGCCTCACTGGTGTTCGTGAGAAGCAGGTTTTTCTTTTCTTTTCTTTTCTTTTCCGGGAAAATCTCGTCAAATAATTTTCTCGTTTTGAATTTTCTATTGAAATGTTAACTGAATTTTTGTTTGCTGTGTGATTTGCAGTCAGAGTTCATCAAAATGATGAGGACAAATGTATGTATATATGCTCTCTGATCTCTTTATTTAATTACTCCATATCCATTCAATTCTTCATTTTATTTTAGAACATGCAAAGGAAAAAAGAAGATGAAATATTCATTAGATTTTCTTTTGATTTTAAAATGTTTTATGATCTTGGTTAAATTTTAAAGGTAATAATTTGGCTTAATTATTTCAAAAATATTATTTTGCTTTCAAAATTCGACTAAAATTGTGAAGATTGTTTCTAAAATCAAAATATCTCCTAGTTTTTAGTGTTGTAATGAAACGATTTAGTGTGATGTTCAAATTAAATAATATTATGGAAAGACAAATTAACAAAAAGACAGTTTAAAAAAAATATATATCCAAACATATATTTTTACAGCCAATTTGATTAAATAGTGTTTAGAATTTAAATATTAATATTTTCTGATGAGATAAATAATTAATCCTCTTGGTTCAATATGAATAGGAAAGAATGATGGAAGAAGAGAATAAGCGCCTCAATTATGAGCTGGTAATTCCAATCTCCTTCTCAATTTTCAAGATTACATGTTTTAGTCACTAATATTTATTTAGATTTTAATTTAATCCCTATTATTTAAAAAAAAAATTAGTCACTTATGTTTTAATATATTCTTTTAGTATAAGATTTTTTTAATTATATATCCTTCCCAACAATATTGAGTGAGTTGGTAAAAATTTAATTTAGAGAAAGAATTCGGAATTTCTACAAAATTCTTAAAAATTTGAAGGATGAAGTAAAAACGTATAACTCTCTCAAGACGGCCAACTAATTCCTCCCTTGAACTTCTGTCAGTTATTGAGTAAATATCATGTTATGTAAATTTATCATTAACTAATTTTAATTTAATAATTGAAAAATGTCAAAAAGCCTAAGGGACTAAACTAAAAGTCCCTAAACAAATAGGGACCAAGTCGGAAAACACAAGTCTAAAACATACGTTTAGTTATTATTATTATTATTATTTTAGTACTGTGAAGATGGAGATTTGAACTCACGACCTTTTGATCAAACATACGTGCTTTAATCACTCTAATATGTTTAATTACTTATACGATCATAAAGGTTGATAATTAATGAATGTAAACTTTGAGATTCTCATAAAGTGTATTACAAATTAAGTTGGTTAATTTTTTATATATATATATTTGAATATATAAGTGCAGTACCAAAAGGAGATGGTAGCGATGGGAGAGAGTGTGAGAGAAATGGATAATGGATACAATCAGAGAATGAGAGATTTCAACTCTCAGATGCCTTTTGCTTTCAGAGTGCAGCCTATTCAGCCAAATCTACAAGAAAGGATCTAAAATTATCTCGTTCTCTCTTCTCTTTCTCTGTCTGTTAATTGTTGTTGAAGTTCGAACTCTTTATTTTCTTACTTTAAATCAAGTGTGTGCAACTTTAATTTGGGTTAATGCTATGTTATGTTATGTAATATGTTATTAATGTCATCATGAAAACTTTGGATATATGTTTTTAAGTACTTGATTTTTGTTATATGTGTGTGTATCGTCATGTATGGTATATATGCATGTGGATATAAGATGCTGAATATTAATAAATTTTATATCAACTTTTCAATTTAGTTTCCTTAGTATTTGGTACAAGTAATAATAGGGGATTTTGGTGTCTATTCGAAAGTTGAAGGTTCTATCTCATACCCTGCTCGTTGTAAGTATTAGGAAAAGGAGGAAAAAAAACGACTTCAAACCCAAACTGTTAAAATCAGAAGAGAAGTCTACCAAAAACAAAATGAATCAAAATATTCAAAAAAGTTTAAAATTACACGACCTCTACTTGTTTTTTAGTACAACATGTGGGGTGGGGATTCAAACTTCTGACCTCTTGGTCGGAGATAGATGTCTTGATGTCTTAACCAATTAAGTGATATTAGGTGGCTATACAAGTCAACTAATTAACCGAATAACCGAATTGATCGATCAAAACTTGATTCGATCAATTATTTTTACTTCAATTTATATTCTTAAATTGATGCTTGAAAGCAAAATCATGCATGGTTCAATAACAGAAACAATTCTACCCCGTAAGAAGTTTGTAAGTTCAAATCCTCATCCCTTCGGATGATAATATATATTTTGATACTCGAAGATACGTATCTCAGCCAAGTTATATTGCCTTAAATGTAATAGCATTCCACTTATTTGAAAACCACATAACAATAATCCAAATCAAAGATTCAACCTCCAATCCCCTGTCCAAGAAGGAAGAAAAATAAACACACAAATAACAAAAAGGGAGGTAAAAAATGGCAAAACAAATACATACACTTGACCTTTTTACCCCTATGACTCCTCCCTCATTTACAAAATATAAATATAAATAAAATTGTAATGACTTTATTAACTATTTCTCCATCAATATCTCCTCAGCAAGGTTCTCACATGAACAAAGAACCATGTTTTCAGAAGAGTTTTGTGCTTTCTCCACCCCTTGAAGTACTTCCCAATCACCTTCTTATAGCTTGGCCTCTGCTGCACCAAGATCCAATACTCACCGATGTTCGGTCTGCTGCCTATATACTCGTCCGCTACATTCAACACCACGAGTCGAGCCAGCACAGGGATGAACACAGCATCTGCCATCGTGAACTCTTCCCCTGCCAAGTATGCAGTCTCGCCTAGTCTCAATTCGATTTCGTCGAGAAGTCTGATTAGATGTTCAGTGCTCTGTTTGACAACAGTTTTGTTTTTCAATTCGTCTTCGGTCTCGTACGCTTCTCGCAGCTTACGATGGTATGCAGCAGCCATTTCGGGAGTTTCAGCCATCCGAGCAATCACCACCCGCCTTATAAATTTTGTAACCGAAAGGCGGTACTTCTCGGGGATGTGGGCAAGCGTAAAGAATTTCGGATTCCATTCTTGTATCTTATGCATCAATTCCACAACTTCTCCGCTGCTCAGTATTATATTATTGGTCCCTGAGGAAACAACTGCAATTCTCTCTATATACCTGAACAGAGTAACATCACAAACGTTACTTCAAAAAGTTATGCAGCATTGCTCACTTATTTACTTTCGAAAAATACGGTCTTCAGAAATTGTGACTAAATGACTTGTAAATGTTAAGATTATTATGCAATATTCACGAGCCTGAAATAATTTCAACAGGTCACAAGAAGCAACAAACTAAGAAATGACTGAGAAAAACAAATCTAACAAAACAGTTAACAAAAATATGTTTTCACTCAATTTTTTATTTTGACGAGAAATCAAATCTTTTATTGAGAAAAATGAAAAAAGACAGAATATAAAAGGGCATACAAAAAGGATATCCCAACGACAGGAGGCTCCCCTAAAGAAAGGGGATCCAATCCAAAAAGAAAACACTTGATAATTACAAAAAAAAAAATGGACCTTAGAAACAGACCGACACTGGATGTATTAAATATAATAAGCTCCCAGACCACTCTTAGAGATTCTATTATTTCCCTCAGTATGCATACCGCATCCCCACAAAATAGGAAAGAAACAATTCTAACACATAATATTTCCTTATCACGAAAAGGAGGGAACAATAGAACCTCCCCTATCAGATTCCAACGGTCTCTAATATGAACCACGACACTCCAAAAAGCTCAAAAAGCCTGCTGGGATATCCCGAGCGAACTGATAATGCCACAAAATTGATTCTTAAAAAACAAAATACAGTTTAAGAAGGAACTTCCGAAGTACTCCCAAGTAATTTATATTCAATCCATTTGTTTTCAGATTTGATGGTATGACCATAATCTTCAAGTCATCTAATGAAGCAAACGCTTTAAAGGGAGTAGGGAGGAAGGAGCAGGACGTACTGAATTATCTCGATGGTGTCAAAAATGATGTGCGAACCATTTTTAAACACGGGAAGTTTTGCACTTTGATTCATCTTGAAGAATGATGAGTCCATGTTCTTGGCCGTGATAGGATTGACATGATACGACGTATAATCAATGCCTTGCTCTTCCAAGGCAAGCCTCACCTTTTGGCTGTCCAATGAGTATGGATGATGATATAACTGCATTGCTTGGTTACTAACATCAGCTCCTCTAGTGAAATATCAATGGAGTAATTGGAGTTTTGCTCTTGGTTTATGGCTTAAGATAACACGCACGGGATCTGCAGGGAAAGATTAAGCTCAAAGCCTGCAATTACCGTGACGGAAAGCAATCAGCATCAACCATAATCACTCACATTTTTCAAAAAGAAAACTCGATTTGCCAAATAGGAAGAATGATGAAGATCAGACAAGGAATTCATGGAGAAAGTCATAAGCCAATAGAGTTCCAATGCGTATAAAAAGGACCCCCTTACACATTGAACCAAGAAAAACCGAAGCACGATCTCCGGTTTACCCTATGCAATGTCTAACAACTAAGCAAAAGGGGATGCTACCCACAATGTCACTTGATAGAAAATTCAACACCAGAGCTCTCCAAATAACATCTTACTCTTTCAGTTTCAATGCTACAATGTCAACAGATACAAACATTTGACAGTCACAAGACTCACAACTATCTTGCAGAAGATCAAGTTCTTGTAATAATATAATCCTATTTACAGTTGTGAGCAATGTAGAAAACTCAAATCAATTAGCTCAGTTTATTCATAAAGAACTCTGTGAAACAGATACTTAAAATATAAGATTTTCCCTAGAGGGGAAAGACAAATCCATCTTTCCAAACCCGTCACTTTAGTTATGACATAAGAGATGCAAAGAATATTGGATGGAGGTCACAATCACAAGAATCAAAGATCTGCATTTTAATTTGCAGAGGTTTAAAGTAGAAGCAACAAAGATTGGACTGAAATCATACATTGTACCCAATTTTCACCATATAAAAGACAGGCCCATCATTCCATAGCAGGCAAGTTCCAAAATTCCAGAGTGTGAAGACGGAACAACACAGAAGAACTTCATAAAAAATCAATTTCAGAACTCCCCAAAAGCAGCCAAATAAATACCCAGATACAGAAAAAACTTCTCAATACTCAGATTCCAGTTCCAACAGCTACACAATAATATGTCAATAACAATGACGAAACTGGGAATTAAGAGGGAAAAAATGACCCCCACAAGAAAAAAAGGCACAGAAACCACGAAAGAGAAGTAAAACAAGCGTCACATACCGGGAGGCCAGAGAATCAGAAACTATTCGGTTCTGTAGAAACCTGAAGAGGAAAAAGAAAAGAGAAAAATCAATAAAGATACAAAAGCCTTTTGCAGATTCGTGGGGTGCACATGAAGAAGAGGGAACAGAAGAAAGTTGTTTCTACTCTTCAATCGAGGTCTAACACAAAGCTTGATACCCCATCATAGAAAAGGAAAAAAGCGAGAGAATAAAAGTTCAGAATTGAGGCGATCTTTTGAAGGAAAGTGGAGTAGAAACGCTAAAATGGGAGCGTGGGGAATTCTGTCGCTGATATAAATGAGGAGTGGACACTCATTGGTGCTATCGATTTCATTACATTAATGGATGCTTCACTCGTTCACTATATTTACTAAGCTGACTGACAGCTAAATAATTCGTCTAAATTAGGGTAAGTTTGATAATGTTTTATTTATTGTTTTTTAATTTCATTTCTTGTTTTTTGTTTTCAACCATGACGTATAATTTTAATAAAATTATTTACGATAGGGACTAAATCGCTACAAACTAAAATAACGATTCTGTATTTTTTTTAGTACAACATGTGGGAGTGGGGATTCAAACTTATGACGTTTTGGTCATAGATAGATGTCTTAACCACTTGAACGATCAAATTGGAACTTTTGAAACCATAAAGACTAAATTGAAATTTTTGAAATTATATGAACTAGATTGAAACTAAGTCTAAATAGCTAACATGAACTTAACTCATTGATACTTGACATCTACCTCTAAACAAAAAGTCATAAATTCGATTCCTCCATCCTCAATTGTTTCTAAAGCATAGTTAGCGAATTGAATCTACACTCAAATTATAGTTGTTTAAACCATTGCGATGAAATTTTTGCCAGAGTGGAGTCATTAATGAGAAACAAACTCAATTTTGATCCAGAAAATTTAATTGGAACCATTCTTCATTTCTTGAAAAGTTAGTAAATAAAAGAAAAAAGAGAAGGGATTTATGATTCTCATTTCGGAAAATGGTTCTCATCTTGTTTAAGCAAATAAAAGCTAGGACGAAATTTTGTGATATGAATGGAAACAAACTCAGTTTTGATCCACAAACTTTAATGTTATCAAATTAAATCATGAATTTAAATAAAATAAGAATTTAAATTTTAAATGTAAAATATAAACATAATCAAATGTACTTATTGCCAACCTAATACCTTGTGTAAGCTTTTGCCTCAAAATAATAATAATAATAATATAAATAAGTAAAAACTTTATGTAAGCTAGAGGCACAACTGTGGCCCAAGAGTGGAACAGAACAGAAGTTGCAGAGTCGTACCTTTCATCTCTTCACAGTATTCACCTGTAAACTCTGCAGAATAATAATTTTCGGGTCATTTGTTCCCTGGAAGGGCCAAGTCTCGGTGTCCGACACGTGTCCCTCATGTTCTATTTTTTTAGAAATTGACCTATCGCCATGTCCGTATTGTATCCGTGTCGCATGTCTGTGATTCTTAGTCTATTCCAGCCATTGCAAGTAATCCATATCCATAAGTTTGGATACTTGAAGACTACTCCATACTAATCTTCATTTCCTTGTTCTATTTTTCGATTTTTTTCCTTCTTGACAAATTGGAGCGTGTAGACCGGGCCATAAGGCCACTCTGCCACTTCGACACTCGGTGAGAATCACGTTCCAAGCCAACCTGTGCCTTGACTTTCAACTATTGACATCTCTGGAAAGAAAACGCTATGCAGTGCAGCTAATCAAATACAATAAAGTAACATGGTTCTTTTCTATTTTGACCTCTGATAGCTTATTCAGCAAAAATATTATGATAGCAATACAGGGAGCAGGCAGAATAATGAATCATCATGTAATCCCATTGAAAATTACAACATTTGTAGCTTTTAAAAGATGAAGGTTTTTAAACAAAACCGCAGTTGAGTTGAGGCCACCTTTTGAAAAGGTTGAACTGTGAAAACTTTACATAAAAAATCCCATCGAAAGTTTGGTCTAATCTACAGATTTTGGTGATGAAGCAGACCCCGAGAACATGTGTCCTATCTGATATGCAAACTTGTTAGTCAATGGAGCATCTTTGTGAATAAGTGGCTCAGAGGACCTGCTTGAATGAGGTAGCAAAACCAGAGTCGCTTGTCGCTCACTATGCGACGCCCAAGTCACCAAATAAAGACCAGCAATAATTAGAGACCCCCCTAGAACACTGTTAACAGACAGAAAACAGCACCATTTTAAAGGTATAGACCTATAACCTTTTAGTTGAGGTAAAATGACCTAAACATACAACTTGCAACAAAATGCATAAAATGTTATGAAGATTGAGGCAGACCTTCCAAGATAAATAGGGCTTCCGATGAAAACTCTTGATAGAAGTGCAGAAGCCGCAGGTTGAAGTGGGTTGTAAAGAGCGACCAAAGCAGGCCCCAATATTTTATTGCACCATGTCAGGAGTCCATAATTGATTGCAGATGCAAAAATTCCCTGTAAAAGAAAATTGATTTTCGTAACCCTTTTTCTACATTAACTGTGATGCAAATGTTGGAAGTCACTCTTGTTGATAAAATTTCAAGCCAAGGAAAACTTCAAATGCTTCAAAAAAATGTATCTCTATTTGCACGGGAAGCTCCATTTTCTTCCCACTTTTTTGTGGTGGTGGAGTTGGTGGCCGGTGGGGTGAGGCGACGGTTTTAGCTGATTCGTCTTATTTTTAGTTTTCAAGTCAATGTATAAAGAGCACAAGCTAGCATATCGATATCATGCTTTCAAAACCAAACTGATAGGATCATAAACTTTACACAAGCAACAATATTCAAAAGTAAAAATTAAAGGGTACAGTGCCAAAACTGTGATCAAACTTACAGCATAAAGGACAGCAAAAAACTCTGATTGCGTCAAATTCCAGTCTGTGGATTCGTTGGTCATGAAGAAAGACGTGATCACCATCAATATAGCACCAAATAAATAAGAATATGCTGTGACAGATAAGTTGGCAGGATACTTCTTTAACACCCGTGCCTAAAATTTTACAGGAGATCTTTTAAACATCGCTGACTATGAAACCAAGAAAAAATAGTATTGCAGTATGAATGCAATGCACGAAACATTTCAGAATGGTGCACTATGAAATGAGACGATAGATACAAGATACCTCTGAAACCATGAGTAGTGTGACATCTACATCGCTGACTATATTCATTTAATTGCTTTCAAATTTATATCTAAGATAGAACTGAATTTGAATTCTCTGCCATAATATATTCAAAATTAACTAGAAGAAAACCCAAATGAAAAAAGAGTTGAAGAATCTTATCAGCTTCCATTTGGAACAAAATGTTTCCCAACAACTTTTTCTTGGCAGAATAACGCTTTAATCCCGTCTTTTATGTTTTCATGTAGTCTTCTACGTACCAATGCTTAAGGAATCCTTGCATGCTGGACTTCATCATTAATTGATTTTTCTGTTACAGTTCAGGACAATCTACCTGGGATCCATCTATCCTTCTCACCCCATAGATTCTAATTCCAACAATCCAAGTAAAACAATTTTGCAAAACACAAACAAAAGGAACCTAGATGTTTTCATCAAGTGCTGTTTAAAATTAGGAAAGAATGCTGTACTCATTATCAGAAAAGGTGTACCATCAGTGAAGTACCTGGATGGCCAAGAAAGCTGCCATGCACATACAGTTTCCTATCAAGCATAAAACCCCAATGTGAAAATAATCGAGGCCATACTCCAGAAAGCTAGACATTAGCCATCCAGCAGGCTCTGGCTGACCCCTCGCACTTATCTCGTTATGCGAGTTGAAGTCATGTTCACTGTTTCCAACCAAAGCTGGACCACGGAATAAAACCATCAATATGGCACCAGCGACACAAACAAGTGTACCTCCAACCTTAGCCTGTCCTTCAAGTTTAAGGAAGTTCACAGTCTCTGTGCTGCATAAATAATTCAAGATACGATATAGAACAAGGAACATATATCCATCTCACTTCAAACAAGAACTAACAATATTTTCAGTAAAATGATGAAATTAAACAGAGATAGGCCAAACTAACCCCATCATAACAGCAAAAAGGAATGTAAAAACTGGAATGGCAGGCTGTATGGCAGCAGCATAAGTTGGATTAGTGTAACCCAGTCCAACAAGAAAGAGAAGCTGGTTCCCAAAAATCCTGTCACAAGAAAAAAAAAGTACTAAATAGAATGTTTCTCCAGTTTCATAAAAATACTTCTCCTTCTACAAGAAGCAAGTAGTACTTCATTGATGAAAAACTGCATAGAACAAAAGAAGAACATGTCAAAACTGAAAAGGTATATAACCTTACCCCGTTAAACCAAGAATAAAGAACGATACGAAGAGGTCTCGAGTCATAGGCAAACGAACCCGCCTAAAAAGAAAAGGAAGAAACCTCAGATGTTAAAATGTCCATCCTCAGGACACCAGAGAGCCAAACATTTTAATAAAATGTATAAGAACGATAGTATGGTAGATAAAAATACAGATGGTTGGATTTTTATATACGTGCTTCTAAATTAAAACCTGTAATTACCGAATACCCATATAAAAACATTGCAATCTTTGCATGCATTATCCTACAGTCGTCAATGGATATAATCATTGGTCACCAATAGATAACGAACTTAATTCTTTTAATTTTCATGGGGAAAAGAAGAAACTACCTCAAAAGTCAGCATGAAGTTGAAACATATAACCAATCATGGCCTGAGCAATTAAAAAGGAAGTCCTAAATACTATCAGAAGCTGTAAATTATTCCTCAAACTCGCCTATTCAATCAGCAATCGCAGGGACGCCAAAAAGGTCGAAAGTGAAATGAAAGATCTATATGCTGCTATATTCGAACTTCCATGATCTACCTAAATTTCACCTTCCATCGAATGTCAAAAGAAGCAGAGTCCGATTCTCAAGAAAATACACACAAACAGTGATGATCCTAGGAATCAAATGACGCCATATCAAATTTTTCAAAACGACGATCAGATAAGCCAACGAAAATCCAAACAACTAATTTCAACAAAGAAAAACGACGAGAAAGAGATAGAAAAAATAGGGAGAAATGATAACTATACTTCTCCCGGACATAAGCAACAGGGGCAAGAATCGCGAGCGCCAACAAGTCGCGGAACAAACAAAACACGAGCTGGTTCATCCCAATATTGAGGGCGACTTTGGTAATAACATGGTACCCTCCATTGATCAACTGCACCAAAGCCATAGCCGCGTGCGCCCTCGACACATCTCCACCACCTCCGTTACCTCCTCCGACCGCTGCCGCCATCCCTCTCGCCGCCGGCCGTTGACAAGCTCAAGTTCCGATCAAATTCTAAGAGAGAGAGAGAGAGAGAGAGAGAGAGAGAGAGAGATGGAAGCGGAACGGCAAAACACAGAGAGAAAGAAAGGGCTGGATGGCGTTCAGTTGAATATCATCTTTAGCCAACAATGGAGTTTGGTGCATCAAATCTGAAAAACTTCTCCATCTTCTCTTGCAGTTGAAGGAAAATTAATTTTCTTAATTTAATTTAATTAATTAATTAATTTCGTTAATTGTTATTTTATTTTATTTTTTCTTTTTTAAGGTCATTGGAATTTGGAAGTTCCTCTTTCTTGTTGATAAGGAATGGCGTTTCTTTGTCGAGTTGCAGATTTTTTTTTTCTTTTTTTCTTTTTTCTAAATACAGTAAATACGGATATTTATTTACATACCATATTTTTCATTGTTTTCCTTATTATTCCATATCATCGTTTTTATGGTGTTTATTTTTAATTTTAAAGCCCATTCACTTGCCTAAATAATGATGATGTCCAAATGTAATAGTAAATATGACGCTGATATTCTAGAGGTTGATGGTTTACTGAAAATAATTTTAATAAAATTAAAATTTTAAAGTTAAATTTGAAATTATTAATTATTGTTTTTGGTAAATTTATCATTGGGAAGGGAGGATTTGGCCTTAATAGAACCTTTCAAGTCAATTAGCTTACTTAGTTGGATCGTTAATAATGAGTGATGATTATTGTAAAGTTTTCTTCCAGGGTAAAATTGAAAGTGAGGAGATTTTTAACCTAAGGTTCAAATTTTAAATCATTACAAATATATCACTTCAGCCATTGTTAATAGATATAAATAATGAATGTAAGTTCAATCTCTGAATAGTCTCACTCTTGAATGCATTTTGATTAAGGTACTATGAATTTTGAACAAGTATTCACGGTTTTAATTTGGTTCTTATAATTTCAAATTTGATTCGTTTTAGTCCTTATACTTTCAAAATGTTTATTTTAGTATCTATTAGCAAAACTTTAACACATATACTATACATAATGAAAACTCTTTAATATATAACCATGATTACATTTCAAAAAATATATTTGCCTAGTATCGTGTTTAAATTGTGATAGAAAAATGAGATTAAAAATAAAATTAAGGAACCAAAATGAAAACTCTATCAAAATACAGAGATCAAAGCGAATATTTTGAAAGTACATGAACTAAAATGAACCAAAGTTGAAAGTACATATATAAAAACAATACTTTAATCATTATTCATAATACAGCAACCAATGTTAAGCAAAACTGCATCACAACTTTAATATATAATTGAATTCTAAGACATAAATACAAATAAAAAAAATATATATCAAAAGCGAAAAAAAGTTCCAGAAAACCAACTGACCAAGAACGTCCTAAACAAGACCCAAAAGTTCATCACATAACAATGTTCTTGTTGCTCTCTTTCTTAAATTGAAATAAACGAGATGCCCTGTTCGGTTCCTCGGTATAATGTTTGCCAGTGGTCGAACAAGCCTCTAGTCGAGACGAGAAAAAGAAACGAAAGAGGAGAAGAATTAACAAGAACGAGTATATTGGTAGCCTGATCAGGTAATAGATCTTGACCACATTCTGTACAACATACAGCAGTTTAATCTATAACTTTGACTCGGAAGAATAATAGTAAATAGCAAATTATTCATTGGGATGATATTTCAAATCAAAATATAATGTCCTACAAAAACCTTTATAGTTCTATATTCCCAAAATTGTTCTTATCTGGTCTGGAGGATGCCTTGCAAGTGACTTGGGGTCCGAGTAGCCATTGTCAGGATCCATGATTGCCTCGTAAATAAGCTCGTAAGCTTCGGCAAGTGATCGAGCCACTTGAATACAGGCTTCCGACCGCAACTTGGGAACCTGCAATAGCTCGAACTCTGGAAGTGAACTCTCACTTCCCAGAACAAGCCCAAAGAAAGCCTTCAAGCTCTCTGAAAGTGAAGCCGGGGACGTGTCTTCAATCTCCGCCAACGGCAGCCCATTTGCTGCATCGCCTGCTTCTGAACTTCTACGAAAATATGTCATCTTCTGAGATAAGCCGCATCTTCGTAAGATTGCGTCAACTTCTTTTTCTACGAGCACGCTTAAGTGATTAATTATCATCCCTCCAAGTTTCTTGACATATTCAGATGCAACCTCATGTCCAGATAACGGTTGTTGGATGGCGCACAGACAGTTGATGAGGAAGATCTTAGAAGGTGTTTCAGTGTCCTGTCTCAGAAGATAGAAAACCAATATTTCTCAGATGGAAAAATTTATAATAATCTATACCATTGACAACAAAAAGAGGTATAGGAGTGTCAAAAAATCCAATAACCCGAAAACCCAATCAACCCAACCCATACAGTTTGGGTTAGATTATAAACTTATTTAGTTTGTTTCGAATCAATGAAAACTCTATGAGTCAGGTTTGGTTCAAGGGTTCACTCAAAATAAATTTGGGTTTAACCGACTTATTATTATTTTTTAAACCATTTTTTTACTTACCATAAAATTATACATAGAATATATTTATTTCATTCAATAATTCTTTATGAATTATTTATTCTCCAACCGCTTTTAAAAATAACTTTTTAAGTTTTTGGAGGGTAATTTTTCACAAATAAAATGTTGACTTAGAATCTTGATTAAACGTTTAAGATATTGGCATTTACTTTTTTGTTTTTTGTTATATAATATATTTGAATGAGCGACTCGAATGATCCGAATCTACCCAACCCAAATATTTTATGTTAGATTCGGTTGGGTTCATTATTTAATAAAGGTTGTTTGGGTTGAGTAGATTTACAACCTGAACAATTGTGTTATGTCTAAAAAGCATTTCAATCCGACTCAACTCAATCCATGAACACCCCAAGGTAGAAGAAGAGGTCATGCAAACCTGAGATGCTGGAGCAGGGCTGCTTTGGGACAATAGTGCATCTACTGAAGATTTACTATTCTGGCTAGAATCAGAGTTCGTCCTACCTCTTCTTGATATGTGGCCAGCTCCCTTGGACTTGTGAGCCTCTGCTGCTTGCTCACACATCTGCAATAATTGAAATAACAAAATCAAACATATTAGAGGCGCCCGAGACACGGAACCATTGTCCTCTATGAACAATAAGAACAAGTTTTTACATTTAGGGGATGTGAATATGTTCTAATATAAGTGAAAAAGTTAAACAGCAGTCATAGCAGCCAAATCAAGTAGAAGCATCAATCCATTCAAATAAAGGAAAAGTTAACATTTTTGTTCGAGGAAATTTTCCTATGGTAGGCTCAGAAAACATAGCTGACCAGTTTGATCGTGTTTTTCTAACTGCTATAAGCATCACTTGAAGAATTTGGAACACATCCCACGGGGCACAATAAAGTGGACAATTTTTTTAGCAAACAAGCGTTAGGATTTCTCTACTGGAAAGTGGAACATGGTTATTTTCCTAAAACACAGATTCTATATTTTACACATTTTATAGAATGTCAGGAGCAGAGCTAAAAGATTCAATGTCTTCGGGACTAACTCATAATACAAAACAAACCTGAATTATGGGATCAAGTAAAGCAGATAACACCGGCTCAAAAGCAGCCTTTTTCCCTGAAGCTGGAACCATCATGCTATTATAAGTATCGATTATTTCCAGCAGCACAGAAGCTCCTTCTCTAACTGCCAGTGGTGGAGCGAGATCAACAGCAACAAAGGAAGGAAATCTCAAAAGCTTCTCCCCTCTACTTTTAAGGATATCAAAAAAAGTCTTCTGAGCGGCATCATTTAGCATCCACAGGGTATTGCATAGAGCCGTATCTCTTCCAAGCAAATCTGAAATCTAAAACTCAACGGACAGTTATAACAAAGAAAATAAAAGTTGAGGGAATGTTGTAATTCATATTAATAGAACCTCCACTCACCGTATAGCTGTAAAACTCCAGGGTGTTGCTGAGTTTATATGAAATAATCAGAGATGGTTGAGACTGCAGCACTTGCTCAACTCTCACTTTAAACGGCCGGCAAACTCCTTCAAAAATTCTATCCAAAACAAAGGTTAGGTCATTTTCTGTTTTTCCAGATTCATTCTCCAACTTCGTGGAGAACCTGTTGGCAGTTGGTCCAGCATCAATTACTGCATCTGGATCTAGTAGTATATGTACAAGCTCACGCTCAGATGCCAATGCCTGCATAAAAAATAGGTCAGCATTCAGGTAAACAATCAAAATACACATCCTCATCTTTTTTGGATAATCATTCCAGAATCGCAAGGGTCCTAATTGGTATAATTAGTAGAGCTATAGAATGTACTAAACCAACTAAAAGGTCCGTTTCATACCTGATGCAGCCACCCTAACATGTCCCCAACATAACGTAAAGGATCATGAGCATGTACTTCAATAGGTCGAGGCAGGCCACCTGGTCCTCCACGTGTAAGAGCACTGATAAACCTCCTAAATAATGCATTGTGCCTCATATTTGCAACCTACAACATTAGTTAAAATTTTAATGGGGGGAAAAAAGAGGGGAGGGGGTGGGCGACATAATAATATCCACTATCGATGAACAATTATGTCACCTCCTCAGCACAATACTTGAAAAGGACGGGCCTTTCCCTAAGACAGCGAACAGCTGTTTTCAATAGTTCACTGACTTCGGGATTATCACTTTCTCCTAGACTCCTGCACTCTGTCTGAACCCACCTGGAATAAGAGTCATGCATTACCAAAGAAGTCTATGCATCTCCATCATAACGTGAATAAGCGACACAACGAAACAACTTAGTCCCTCTACAGTCCAACATCATTACCAAAATAACACGAAAAACAAAGACATTAACGACCACCAGTTAAAATTTTATAAGGTAGTAAAAGGAAAAGTTATAAAAGCTTTTTTTTTTTTTTTGTGAATATCAATTATACGCCTTCTTGGTGGGCTTAAATACGCAAGAAGATTTTTTGTAATTACAGTATGTTTTTTATTATGCAAGATTGGAAAGTTGTAATTGTATAGTCTTGAGGGGAGGGTTCTCTCTACCCTCCGCCTTTAGGTTTTCTTCCCTTTTTTGGGTTTCATGGTTGATATATATTACATCTTTGTTTCTTATAAAAAAAATAATAAAATAATAAAAAGAAAAAGAAAAAAACCTTATTTTTATAGACATGCCTTGTTTAGATGGCATTCAAAACTCCAAAACATCTTTTCTGGATAGCAGACATTCTCAGAAGTCAGAACAATTGAAATACAATTAACAGTTGAGTGAACACATATAACAATATACACTCATTCAGCCGGACAATAAAATATTCAGCAAGTTTTAAAGAATTGTAGTTTTAGAATATATGTAGAAAACAATCAATTCAAAGCAGCTCACCTGCACAGCCGCTCATATGCTGCTTCTTGGTATACTGCCATCATATCCATCAGCTCCAAACCTGCACGCTGCATTGAAGTTCCCGACTATTAGCATAATAGAGAATATTTTTCTAGAAAACATCCAATAGCACATGTAACCTTTTTTTTTATTTTAGCATTTTTTAATAAAATATTCATGATGAAGATTCGTCTTTTGAAGTTACTTTTAAGAATGCCCGGCTTAGAACTATTGAAAAATCAAATGTTTAAAACCCTGAACCTTGAAAAGAATGAAAATTTTCATCTTCAATCACACATCTAACACATTCATACTTCTCATGTTAAGTCATTCCAACACACCAGGCGAAAGTAAATAGTGTGCGGAGGTCAAACAAAAAGTGATAATCATGCATCATTTAACAACAAAATTGCCCAGTATTATCAAATACGTGGGTGCTTCATCACTTAGTTTAGCTTTAAATGTAAGACGAAGTGTGTCAATTACTCTTCATAATGACAGTGAAAGTGCCCATAATTTATTAAAACTCAATTGTATCCAAAAGCATGGCCATCAAATATATTTGCAGCGGAGCAGAGTGATTTGCAAGCCACATATATCATCGATTTGTCCCTCACATGTGTGTTAGTCAGAGAAAAAGAGAGATACCTGGTGATGTGTTCTTAGAAGTGTTTTGCAATTAGCATGAATTTCTTGAACATGGGAAAGAGCCTTGAAAAACTTTTCATTTAGATCTTCATGCCTCAATGCATTTATCTGTGGATATGCCAGGGAGTAAAAGGAAGTATTTATTACATCATTCAAGCTAAATTTCATTATTCCATCCAGCTTGAAAATTAAACCCCAAAAAAAAAAAGAAAGAAAAGAAGAACTTCAACCTCTTCATTAGATATCTGATAATCACGAACAAAGCATGACACAATCTCTTGCCTCTGCGTAGTAATTTCAAGTTCCTGCTTTAGCCGCTCTGTGGTACTAATAATGTCCCCAATGCTAGCACTAGAACTATTTAAAGCCTTTGCAATTCTGTAAGAGATTCAATTTAAAACTGCATCATGATCTCATCTAATTCCGTTCTCTAAAATCAAAAGGTATTAGCAATCTGAGTTCATTTCAATTCGTGAAGATACATTAATCAAGGACTTAGGAAATTTATGGGAGAAAGGATCACTGAGATATATTTTTCCTTTTCTAAAGAGAAACTAAACAAACAAGTAATTTGTGAAATAATTCAGAAGTGACAGCAAAGGACACAGTTGGTTAGAAAACTAAAATCACCATTAAGGGCCTATTTGATCATCATTTTATTTTCAGTTTTCTACTTTTGAAAATTAAGCTTATAAACGTTACTTCCACCTATGTGTTTCTTTATTTGTTATCTACTTTATAAAAATGTTTTCAAAATCTAAGCCAAATTTTGAAAACTAAAAAAGTAGTTTTTAATATCTTGTTTTGATTCTGGAATGTGACTAGGAATTAAAAATATTATTCTTCAGAAAGGTGAATTAGCATACCTAAAAAATGGCAAGGAAGCAACCTAATTTATCTAAAACTAACGATACCAGCCCCCGTATTAATCCAACCAGAGTCTTAAATGAGTATTATTCTGTTTTTTTTTCCTTTTTACTTATAATTATCTGTCTAGTAAAATAAGCAAAAGCCACAACACCTCGTGATCCAAATAAATAACTTGACTCTCTTTCCAAGGAATTCACACATTCTGAAGCTTCGAGTAAAGTTAAAAACGCCAAGGGACTAATATATTTAACATTAACTTGTATGCAAAATTTTTATTCTGAATAATTGGTTTAATGACTAGATACGACTCCATGAGCTGCACAGTACATGAGATTCTTCCTACACTAAATTTGCGTCATATTTCGAATTTGGATACTACTAATCATCATTTCAAACCCCTCGGCAGTCTATTCTATGGTTATGACAATAGATCACGCCAAGTTCACATAAACAAGGTTTTGGTAAATAAAGCCAGGTTCAAGCCCATACGACTGAGAAGGCAAGAAGTGAGAACATTCAAAAGCCATATCACCTCGGGAATTCATTTTATATATAGCTCCAAATGCAGATTAAGTATAGATCTTACCGACTGAGAGTGAAAACGCAGTGAATTGATACAGATTGCAGCTAAAACACCAAGAGACTGAAAGAAAACACAAGGAACCGAAAGAAGTAAATCTACGGAAGCGGGGTTTTACCTATCGCAGCAATCGGCAAGAACATTGACCTCCTCCTCGACGCGATCCAACGCCTGATTGGCGGAGAAATCGACATAGAACATAAGCAAGCGAGACGAGTAATTGGCAACTGAATTGGAACGGGAAGTACCTGCTGAGCAGTATCGGATGCGCGAAGAAATTCGATGTTGATGGACAGAGAGCGCTTCTCGATGGTGGATCTGAGGTTGCGACGATTTTGAGGGTTGTTGTCAGTGTAGAAAGTGGAGAGGGTGTTGAGGGAACCGAGAACCTCCGGCGTATCAGTCCTTGATTCCAACACTTTCTTCAGCTTCCGAGAGAGTCCCGGCGCGAGGCCCGCCATTGTTGTCCCCATTTCTCTTCTTTTCTCTCTCTCTCAGATCTCTGTCTCGCGATGTTCTGTTTGTTCTTTCCCTCAGCTCCCGCCTTCTTCGTCTTGCAGTGACTGTGATCCCGATGACGGTTGAACCCACAAACGACGCCGTTGCGCAATACTTCGTAATTTGCACAATTGGTCATTCATAAACGTAGGGCCCAAGTGACTATTTTTCAAAATATTTTTTCCCTCTCTCTCTCACCTCTTAACTTTTTAGAAAAAAAATATTTGTTAAAAAATATTTTCTGTCTTTTATTTTTCTAAATTAACAATTTAGTCCATGAATTTTAGTTTGTAACGATTTAGTCCCTGTATTTTCATTAAATTAACAATTTAGTCTCTCAAGTTTAGTTTGTAATGATTTGATCCTTATAGTTTAAAATTTGTAACAATTTAATTTCTATCGTAACAAAATTTATTAAAATCAAGTGTTAAATTTTATCCTATAACAATTTAATCTTTTTAATTATAAACATATTTTGTTCATCAATCTATACATATAAGAAACTTTACAAACAAGGTTCAAGGACTAAATCATAATCAACTTTAAATTACAATGGCTAAATTGTTATCAATTCGAAAGTACAAAACAAAATCGTTACAAACTAAAATTCGTTCACTAAATTGTTACCTTAACAAAAGTACAAGAACCAAAAGTAAACCTCCTCAGTATTTTATTTAGGTTACGGTTGGACAACATATGAAATCTATTGTCGATGTGGAGGCATGCCTTAAAATTACGTTCATGTTGGTATAACAGATGAGATATTTTTTAATGAATTATGATTTCTATAAACTCTTCTATCGCTACAAAACATGATAATTTATTTTTTAATGAGAGATTCGAATAATCGAACTTAAGATATATTAAAGTTAACCGATTGAATTAAACTTTGATAGATTATTTTCATCACTCTCTCATGGTACTACTTCACTATCGATCGACTAGAAGTATTGAATATCTACTATGTCTATTATAATAAATAAAAGAAAAGTGACTGGTAATAAAAATTAATTTATTGTTCTTACAACTCTCAATATTATTCATCGAAATTATTGCTATGTAGTTTTTTTTTTTTTGATAGCTTGATTCAAAAACTTATAAAATTGTACTTGATATGTAAGTTTAGTCTTTTAGAGTTCTAATTTTGTGTTTAATACATCTATTCGACTTTGTAGAAGGTAGTCCTTGATTCAATCACAAAAAATGAGAGGTACTGTAAATAAAAATGTTCCACAATACTTTTAAACATGAAATTTAATAAAGTAAAATATAGTTCATTGACAATATAACATGGCTTCTTCATCTTCTTCTCCAAACTAAAATTGAATGCAGTTAGGGTTTACTATTTACTCTACCTTTGGAAGCACAGATAATTTCCCCCAAACAGATCGTTCACGTGAACCCCTCCATTCTTCAATCTCCTCACAGCTCCACTCCACGAAGCCCTAAATCGAGCAAACAACGCTCTGCTTCGCCTCCGCAGGTACTTTCTCAACCCTGGAACCGACACCTTCTTCAATCGTCTTCTACCTCCGCCCAATCTCCTGAACTTGTTCCAGTTCCATACCCCTTCCAGAATCGCGTGATTTATTGTATCTTCTTCTCCGTCGCTTCGGTGATTTCGCATTGTTCGCAGCCTGCGATATCGAAATCTGGCGCCGGAAGCCATGATTCCGAACGGAGGAAGTAGGATTCGGAGTCTGGTTCTGTTTCTGATACGCGCGTCGCCATTGTTGTTGTGGAGTGAAAATGCTGTGAGAGTTAATGCGAAGGGGGAAGAGCCTGAATTTGTAGGTAATGGCAAATGATAGTCGGTGTCTGGAATTTCGTATTTATTTTAGGCCAAACGTACAAAATATTCACCAATTTTAGAATTTTTTTTAATTCATCGAAAAAAAAAAGTTTTTTTAGTATAAACAAATATATATTTAAGTTGACACATAAGTATTTTGCTATTTTGAAATTAGTTAAAAGTTCTTAGTGTTAATATTGTCTTGTATTTATCAAAAAAATTTCCTAAAGTGTGCCGACTTCGATTTACTCATTTTGTCAAATTCATGAATATATAAAAATGTTGATGAAAATGTGTACATATTGACGAAAATTTAATATCCTAATTAATTTTTAACTATCTTTAGTACAACAAAATGTGGAAATAGAGATTCGACCTCTAACTTATAAAAAATGAACCATATGCCCAAACTCATATTAACATCAATTCGTTTATTATGCTTTTAAAATTCTTATTCCTACTCTTAGTATATTAAAATTTATTAAAAGATTATCATAATACATGAAATTCAATTCATCTATCACCAAAATTCAAGTCGTTATTCAACAAAATTCATGTATTCCAAATAACATATCTAACCAATTTGTCTGGGTGTCTAAATATATCAATAAAATCCTACTTAAATGATACATAATCATTTTGTTAATAAATTTAACAAGGTTATTTTTTTTTAAATACGTCATTGTAAATTTTGTATGTATATAAAATAAAATATTTAAAAGATCAGGACCATTTAGTATATTTAATTTTTATATTATTCGTCACGAGCATAGCTCAATAGTTTACTCAAGGTATCTTGCTCCTTCTAGACTTCCTTATGGGTCGGATCTGAGGTCAGATATTCAATCTTCATCCTCATGTTTGTCATGCTAGAAAAAACTTTTATGTTATTTTAATACATAAAAAATGATGGATTATAGAGTATTGCTTTTTATTAATTCGAAAAATAAATATAAAATGCGGTGTCTTATGGGCCCAAATTGAATGTGACTGGGCCGCAGGCCCATGAGTTAGAAGACTGGAAAAGCAAGGCCGAGGAAGTGCCGAGGACATAGTAGTAGAGTACCGAACGAACCGTCGAAGGCGACGGCGACGGCGAAGAAGCGTGGAATTTGCAGTGGCGGCGACGGAGAATGGACGGAGAGGAAGGCGGAGGGATAAGGCTGAGTAAAAGGTTCTCCGACAAATCTGGATCCGGCGAAGTCGATTACAAGACCAAGGCCGGCACCGCTTGGAGCCATTCGTATCTCAATCAGAAGCCATGGCATCCTCTCTCGTATCCCAATCAGCGCCGCAAATGGATCGCCGAGCAGACTCACTCCCAGCGAGAGAAGCGCGCTGATGAAGTTGCTCGCGAGGTTAATTTTATGCCCCTTCTCTTGTTTTCGATTACATGAGAGTTTTCTTCTTCGTTTTATCCTCAACTTGTGCATTTTCTGTGTGCAGTATGCTCAAGAGCAGGAGTTCTTTCGCCAGACCGCTCTCGTCTCCAAGAAAGAGAAGGAAAAGGTTTACCTAGTCATTTTTTGTTTTTGTTTTTTTCGCTTTCTGATGTTTTCCTCTTTAAGCTGATGCAAAATTTCATATAGTGTTGTATTGAAGTTATACAGGTTAATGATATGTAGTAATTATGGAGATAAATTGATGGGCTGATGTTTGTCTCTTTTCTCGTCATCATTTTTTCATTCAGTTACGTTTCGTTATTCCGATTGCTGGTTTCTTATGTACCAAAATTTGAGAAGGTTTTCTATGGCTCTTGGCTAGGTTCTTGTGAGGTGGCTCTCTCTTCTTTCAAATTTCATATGTATATTTTTTTTCTCGTTTGTCATAAAAAAAGTGGGAAAGAAAACCTCGCTGATGGCAGTTGCAATGCCAGAGTTGACATTAATGATGGTGAAGATATACTTGAAAATTTTTCTTGCACCGTTGTTCTGCTAATTTTTTATTTGATTTGATGACAAACTTTGTAGTTCATTACGAAAATAGATAGTGTACTGTAATTTTCTTCCATTTATTATTTAATAAACTGTCACGAATCGTTTCTATGCTTATTGTTTATGGAGAATTTTTGGCCATGTATGCTGAGATCTTTGTTTGATTATTAGTTGGAGATGATGAAAGCGGTTAGTTTTATGTATGTACGACCACCTGGTTACAATGCTGAAAGTGCAAAAGCTGCTGAGATTGCTGATGATAGGAAGAAACAAGACGGCGATAACCCTTCTCACGATTTGCCCAAGGATGGCTCTGCCAATGAAAGGTAGTGGGAAAGGAATATTCACTGTGAAACATGCGGGAAGTGTTCTTTTCTCCTCAAGGCAAACAAGATTTATCTTCTTCTTGCAGGCCACCAGAATCGTCAGCCACAGTCGGTAGGGACCCTGGTGAGAAAAAGAAGCCGAGGCCGAAAGATGTTTTTGGGCGTGCTTTGCCAACCGAGGAAGAATTTGAAGTCTTAAAAAATGCTCCTCGGTAAGCTGGTCGTGTGCTGCGATAATGAAAATAAGTACCACTTTGAGTTTGTATGTTGCAAACTCTTTCCTTGTCGTTTGGATGGAATTATTTATTTAGCAGTTAGCATAAAGGCAATAAGTGACTATGGGTCATTTTTTTCGGTAGAGAGGATAAAATGTTATTGATGGTTTGCCTATTACCCTTTGACCTTATAGTCTGGAATACAGTTTTCAGGAACATCTGTAGTTAGTTTGATTTTCAATTGACTTCACACAACGTCAAATTCTTCACATTATTATGAATGGATGTCTGCTTATTCTTTTGTCTACTTAAAATATACTGGAGGGTCCTCATCGGAAAAGAATTTGAAAATGCATGTTGTTATACTCAGAGTTTAGCAAGTAAGCCACCAAATAAGCTGCCAAACAGCCAATGAATAGTTTTGCGCGTGTACATTATTATTGAGGTATCAAATTCACAGTTAACTGGCGTTATGTAAATTTAGTTTGTTAAGTTCTGTACCAAATTCTTATTTGTTTGAGATTTACGGCTAATTTTTGTCTGATTTCAGGATGGACACAGGTGTTTTTGCAAGAGTAAAACCATTTGGAGTAGAAGTACGCAATGTAAAATGTGTAAGATGTGGGATCTATGGTCATCAAAGCGGTGACCGTGAATGTCCGTTGAAGGATGCTATAATGCCCAACGAAGAAAGCCGATTGAAAAGAGATGACCCCTTAACCACCATACTTGCCCATGCTGATAACAGTGAGGCTAGTATTTTGATGACTGAGAAATTATTTTACAGTGTGTATACTATTTGCAATATGCTGACATTAATATGCCTTTGCTTTTGATCTATTATTGATTAAATTTGTTATCACGTGCTTTCTTTTCCACATTATTTACAGCCTCTGAAGTGGGAGTTGAAGCAGAAACCGGGAATTAGTCCTCCCCGTGGAGGGTTTAATCCTGATGATCCAAACCAGCAAATAGTTGCCGAGGACATATTTGATGAGTATGGAGGTAGATGCTTTGTTCACCATGACAATCTTTTAAATTTGAATTTTTTCCCCCTATTTAGCTGGTAACTTATCTTTCCTATCTAATCTGTAGGCTTTCTCAGCGGTGGTATCGTCCCGGAATTACTGTCCAATTTTTCAAGCAAACCCAAGAAAAAGAAGTCTTCGAAGGAAAGCTCACGGAAAAAGTTCCTGTCATCACCTAGAAGAAAAGCAAAGGATCTAGAAGATAACGAGAGAACGTCAAAGAAGAAAAATAAATCTAAAAGAAAGAAACAAATCAGTAGTGAATCAAGTTCAGAAACTTCAGAGTCTGATAGGCGTGATAGAAGGAATAAGCATAAGGCTTCCTATTTGTCTGATGATTCCAACTCCGAAATGCATCTTAGGACTAAAAAACATAGAAGGAAGCATTTATATACTTCTGATGTTTCCAACTTTGAGCGGCATCGTATTTCTGATCGATATTGCCCTGAACCAAGTACATCGGATATTTCAGAGTCTGAGAGGCATGATAAAGGAAGGAAACGCAAGGATTCTTATTCCTGTAGGAAGCTGGAGTCTGGATTAGAACATAGATCAGCCAGAAAAAACCAGTCATATTCTTCTGAAGATTCCGACTTTGAGAGGCATCAAAGAAATGGTAAAAGCAGATCCAAACACACTTCGTCGAGAGGTCTCCATTCTGATAGTCATCATTTAAATAGCAAAATGAGACACAGGAGGTCGCACTCGTCTGATGATTCAGAAACGAAGAGGCATCAAAGAAGTAAATGCCGAAAGCATAATTACTCATCAGATGATTATGATCAGGAGGGACATGATAGAGTTAAGAAGAGAAAACATTAGCGTATCTTTGCTATGTGTATATTCAGAACCTTGGGTCAGTTTGATTGTTCATCATGTTTGAGATTGGTCTCGACTGGGGCGATACGGTACAGAACGAGCAAAGATGTGAAGCCTTCCAAATCTGGTCGGAGCTTAGTATTTCAAAATAAGACTGCAAGTTGTTTGTACTGGCAGGTAATCTAAAATTCGAATTGTTGAATATCTAACACTTCAGCTAATATGTTCTATTTGGTGATCACGCATTGGAGTTTGAATGCTCCCTTCATGATAAAAGTTATACAGAAGAAGAAATTAACTGATTGAGATTTGAGAATTAGATTAGAATATGATGTGGGTAATTTGTCGAGAGAACTTCTGGGAGTAAATGAAAGCTTCACCAACTCCCGGTCTCCATCTCAGGTTGGTGTAGCGTTCTCGTTTCACTTGAGAACTCGAGGACACACGAGGACACAAAGGTACAACCTATAAAACAGATCTTGTTCAAGTAAGATGTTTACCGTAGCTTGAATTTCGTTATCTACTATATTTTAGGCACTAGAGATTTGACCATCTTTCAACTGTGGTTTCTTCTGTATTGCTGGAAAACAAATTTGTTTGTTTGTTTGTTGAGATTAGAAGGAGAATCCAGCAATAACGATGAGGGTAGATAATTTAATGTATGAGTTGAATTTCTATTTTTTAGACAGACTAATAATAGGTAATTCTCAATTTAAAAAAAAAATTGTTTTTCTAACTTTGTTATGGGTAAATTGGATGAATTCCCTTTTTCGGACGTTGCATTTTTTATCCTCGTTTGAACAGGTAATGCCCATTGCACATATATTTAGGAATATAATATTAGTTATATTTTAAAATAGAATAATTTGGATTTTGTAAAGTTTGACGTAATTTTTTCGGCCACACGAACTATTCTTTTCTAGGGTGGAAAAAAAAGGTGAAAGAAAAAGAAGCAAAGTGACACCATTTTACTAAATAATACTCTTTTAGTAGGGATGGCAACGGACCGAGTTGGGGAGTCATCTCCATCCCCGTCCCGTTGGAGATTTTTTCGGTGGGATCGACAATCACAGACATGTATACTTTTTATATTTTTTTAGAAATATTTATTAATATTTTAATTATTTAAAAAAATATAAATCTTTTCTTTTATAGAATATTGTAAAATTCAATTAAATACAATTATTCAAATTAATATGATTATATATAAAAATATAAAATATTAAACGGGGACGGGATGGGATGGGAAGACCTTCCCCATTTCCATCCCCCGATTGGGTCGGGTACCTGTCGGGATCTAGTCCTGTACTTGTAGCAGTGGTATTGTCAACATTTAATCTTATTAAATTTTTGACAAGTAGAAAAATAAATATTTTTCTATTCTCAAAAAATTTAAAAGTTTATCAAATTTTTTTAGTAATGAACACAAACCAATAACAAGTGAACATAAAGAACACATATTAGTCGATGAACCTTTGCTTATCGATATCCGAAAAACATGACCATAATCTCTCATTGAAATTTACATGAGAGAGAGAGAGCAGGCTTTGGATGATGCAAGGAAGTTGATAAGATTATGTATATATATTTACCTAATTTAGTTACATAATCCACATGAAACTTAACTAATATAAACCCATACATAAAGATAAAGAGGCATACAGTCTCCTCTCAAAAAAAGAAATTGATGCCACCCAACTCCTTCAATTTCCAGTTTTGAATCAGCAGAACCTCAAAGTAGCTTCTAGCTCTGCCTCGTCGGCGCAGTTATAACCCAACAAGTAAGCTCGAGCTGCCACAAAATTAACATCTTAAATAACGATATGTATTGTTCAATCTAAACAAAAACACATACACAACAATAAACGATGATTATAGAGTAGTTGTACCGAAACGGCCCAAACCCATGAATGGTTCTGCCTCGTCGGTTACACCGCCTTGTTGCTGTTCCTGAAAGTGTTTCGATGCAACATCCAACAGAAATCGGTGAACTCAGAGAACAAAAACAAGCCATCTTACAAGATGAAGACATGAAAAGATATTAGACGCTAAGCATTATGAAATGGAATCTCAGGTTGCATAACAGTTGAAAGAATACTAAAATTAGGCCAAGCATTTATGATGTTGGATGTGTAGAAAATAAGTATACCATGTCAAGGTGGTCAGTAATTTGAACTGGAAAATGACAAGATACACACCAACTGCACAATATTATCAATCCAAAGTATATATACTTCTGCCTCAGAAAGATGCAACCAGCACATCATAAAAGAATGATTCCCATCGTCCATGTGAAAACCATGTAATGCAATTTAAGAAAAAATAAAATAAAAATAACAAGAATAAGTTACATCTTTTATAGGATTCCAGCATGGAAACAAGGAAGCAAGAAGTTTCCCCCAACCAAGAATTGGAGGAACAAAACCATCTTTTGCAAAATAGGAATGATATATATATATATTAAAATCAAACATCATAAAAGTTAAATGAGGAAGGCATTTTTTCACTGCAAAGAATTAGAAAAAATATGCAGGAAATATAATCAATTTTTACGTTATTACTCCATTCTAGTTTGTACCTCTTGGGCAGAAGCCCTATCCTTAAGGCAAATTAGAGCTCAGACATGATTGAGACTTAAAGCATGATCAAATAAACATGTCTTAATCTAATAATTTAAACCAAGTGGTGAAACATGGTATTAGTACACGAGGTCTCAAGTTGCAAATTTTGCAATGTTGTTTTCTTTGTTTCATATATCTGCATGTTGAAGAACCTTGTGAATCTACTAACACTCGAGCTTACATGTAAGGGTGAGAATATATGATCAAAGTCATCCGACTCCAACAAATTAAAATTTTGGGTATCAAAACAGGAAGTCATAGTTTCAAATCCCAACCATTCATTCCTCACATGTTAAATCAAACAAATATTCAAGCCTAAATGTGAAGGGAAGTGCTGAACATATGTTAAATGATTAAATTTACATTGACCTAATAGCTTAAGCCTGTTGATAAGTTGATATAAAGCTTAAATTACTAGTGTACTCAATTGAGACCTTCAAGAATAAACAAAAAAGGTAAAGAAGCTTAATCTAGAGCTGGCTACTGCAGTCGGTAGAAGAACAAGTCATAAGTTAGAGGCCTTCAACTTTGGTTTCATGTTCAGAAACAAATCATAGGCCTTCGACAGACCAAGTAAAAGGGTGGCAAAATCTCTATTATCTTCCTAGTGAACAACCAATAAAAATCCCATTTTATAGTCTCGCACTATTTTCAGTAGTGAGCCCTCTGATAGGAAGTTAGATAGCAGAAGAAAGATCTGGGTCAGTAACATTGGAAAGAGGTTTGTACTCACAGTATCTGGTTCCATAGAATCTGGCAAAAGCAGCGTGTCAAAGCAGTGTCCAGATATTCTGCAGACAAGTTGTTCATCGTTCAGGTCCATAATGACTTCTCTGCATGTGTCATCACATACTGGGAATAAAATATGCGACTCATCAATTATGCAGGTAAGGAAGCCACTGGGTAATCTACGATCAAATTTTAATATAAAATAGAAAAAAATATCCTACCATGAACAAGTCCAGTCTTTTCACATACAAATGCATCTCCAATTTGGTAATATGAACATGTTTCTCCTGAGCAAGTGTGATCTACGACTATCTTGTCAGTCAACCCCCTGCTGCTTTTCCATGTAGATACTTGATCAGCCACGGTCCTATCAAGAATTATTTGGTCATCCTGCACCTGCACATGCTCAATGTCAATGGTTTTTTTCTATTCTCGGGAAAATAGAATTAGTAAAGACTAAGGAGGGAGATAATCTAGGACAAAATCTATAACGGATGTTGGGTTCCAAGCAAACCATGCATGAACCTTTATTCAACCCTATCTTTAAACATGAGGATAAAGAAACTATATGAGCAATTCTTCTGCAAAGTTAAGAACTCGAATGGAAACCAGATACCTGCGAAAGAAGAGGAGCTTGGCTTCTTTTTGCTGCTTGCATTTGGATGTAGTACTCTTTAAACTCAGAAGAGCAATCTCGAACCAGTTCGGTCATATCCTCTCCATCACGCTAGGATTTCAGAAAAAATGGGTGATTAGTAGTTCATCATCAAAAGGGGAATTAAATCAACTAATAAAACCCCCATAGTCCTCCCAGCTCACAAAGAATGATGGGAGATATAAGAGAATCGGTATAATACAAAAAGAAAAACCTGAATATAAAGTCTTTTCCAAGGACATTGGCGCAGCTTCTTGGTTGTCAACAGACCCCATCGCAGACAATATCTGCAGACGAATTGCCGGCATTAGTGTCCATGGACACAATGGAAATAGAATTTAAGTTTCGCTATAAAGAAGCGTACAGATCAAACACAAATAGATAGGATACATAAGGTGCCATTACTCACAATCTTCGCCATAATGATTCATCAGACGCCACAGAATTTAAAAACCGACAAACAAGTGAGCAGGAAATCAGATCCTGCACCAAAAGACGCAATTTAGGTGAAGAACAGAAATGGAGAGGGAGCATGCAAAGCAACAAAAAACACTCTCCACACTACCTCGGATGAGAGAAACTTCAGGATATGACGGAAGAGTTCCGGAGGAATTTTACTGAAAATTCCAGTCTCAATCCTCCCGGGAACGACGCCATTGGATTGAGAGGACGAAGTAGTGACGGAAGCTACCTCTCTTTCTACACTAGGGCTACTATGTTCGATTCGGACTCTCTTAGGTTTTGGTTCCTCCTCCGCGTTCACCTCTTCCTACAAATTTCCACATCCAATTTCATCACAATTCGACATAATCAACCCTAAACCAGCACGAACATGATAGAATTTGGAGAAAAAAATGAACAAGTTTGAATAACGCTCCTTAATTTTCTTATATTCTAACCGATTCGACTCCTTAAACAATATCAGATAAATGGATAAAGGAAAAGATACAAAACCTTGTCGGAGACCTCCGAGAGGACCTCTGATTCGAGGAATTGAGCCAAGAACTCGTCTTCATCGTCTGGAATGGCCATGTCACATCAAGCGACGTGGTTTGGATTTCGAACTCCGGCAAAGATCGGATTGTGAATAAGCCGATAAAATAATCTCAGTCGGCCGGTGACCGGAGCTGGCAGACGGCAGTTCCGGCCTTTAGAATGACGACCAACCCCCAATAACCCACCCGAAATCACGGGAACCGTACCAGGTGAGAACAACGAGACCATCCCGGGGCGAGACTCTTCGAATTGGGCCCAAGGCCCACACTTACAAGTTGGGTCGATGCCCATTACACCTAGAGTTGGGCTTACACTTGATGGGCCAACGACTCTGATTTTCAAAAATGTTGCGTTAAATATGTTTTTCTTTTTTTATGCATGTAGAAATAAGATGTTTGAGCACAAATGGTAGGTTTCTAAATAAAGTTGGAATATTATTGAATTATTTAATCAAATATAAAATAGTGAGAACTAAAACTGTACACCAAATCTAAAAGCTAAAACGATATATTTACAAATTAAATAAGTAAAAAAAAATTACAAACATAAATATAGAGCCTACAATTATATTTTCTTTTCAAATATGTAGGAATGACGGTTTGGATATTTTATCTTATGGTTGATTTCCTAAACAAATTGAATTGCAGTTAGATAAACTAAATATTTAAATATTTTTTAGAGCGAAAAAAAAAACAAATATACTAAAAGTAAATTAAATTTTAAGAATGAGGGGTGGTTAAGGAGTCATAATTTTAGAAGAAAATATTTTCAATAGGAAAAATGGTCGGAATTGTTAATTATATATGTCATCTATCGTGACTGAAAATTTAACAATTATTTACAAAAGAAAAATATATACTTACAACCTCATGATTGGAGGTATAAACTATATTCACTTTGGTATATAAAATAATTTTTTCTAATAAATAATTGTCAATTTATTATGCTTATTATTATTTTTTTTATATTTGTGAGTCTCCGTTAATTTAATAATTGAACTTGGACTAATTTATTAAAAAAAGTTATTGTATGCTTTCCTCTTGTAAAAAATTGAATGGTAGATGAGCATTAAAGAATGCTGATGAGCAATGGCGAGGGAGTGAGAGATTGGTCAAAGGTGGCTGAGAATGGCAGCCAATTAATCTTACAATAATTTTTTCCAATACCAAACTCTCCATTTCTTTCAGATCACAAAGGCGTAGATCGGCTGTCTGCTACCAAATCCCAAATCCAAGCTGTCCTTAAATAAAGAAGAATTTGTCCCCGTTGTGGGCTCATTCAATGGCGACCTCACTGGGTGGCGAACAGAGACAGTTGACTTTCCCGAGTTTCAGCACAAAAATGCCTCACTGAATCTCCATTTCCACTTTCGTTTTCTCTTCCGCGAGCTCCAGCTTCTGGAGGAGGATTTTTGAGAGGCGATGGCGTCGACTTAGCCGAATTCCTAGACGGATTTTGCTGTTGGTTCGGTGTAGAATCAAGGAGTTTACAGAATCGAAGATTCGAAATGGGGTGGGGAAATGGGTGCCCTGACGGGGCCAATACCCGGCCTCTGTTCTTGGCGATCTACGCCACGGTTGTCGCCGGCATAGTGTTCTCGTCGCTGTACGTATTCTCGGCTGTTTACTCGTCTTCCACCTCTGTTTCTGATTCCAGCTCCTCCTGGTTTTCGTCTCCTTCTTCTGATTTCTCCAGTACGCCTTCTGTTTCTCTCTTCTTTCTATACTGCAAAATGCTTGTATATGTTCTCCATTATGTGGTGGATTGTGATTGTTGATTGATATTTGGAGATTTAGCTGATTTACTTGCTCTATTCTACCGCATTCGGATGTTGGATTTGGTTCATTTAATGGAGTGTATGCTAAATTGGATTTGGGTGAATCAGTGAGTTTGAGTTTTCGCGCTTGATCAAAAGTAGATATTGTTTTGGTGATGTTTTCAGTCCATTTTTATTTATGAACTGTGGTGCCATTGAAAGTTTCTTCTCTCTTTGATGTCTTGGTAAAACCCTTCTCACCATAAACCTTCGAATTCTAGTTATTGTGCAGTGATCCAACATCGTTGGAGTTTCAACTAACTAATAGAATTTTGGTGTGAAACATTTAGCCAGCTTGAAAACTAATCTGTTTTTGGTTTTCTGTTTTTAAATGTTAAGTTTGTAAATACTATCTCCAGACTTATGCTTTTCTTCATTTTGTTTTCGACTTTTAAAAAACGTTTTCAATAAAAACTTGTTTTTGCGTTTGAAATTTGAGTAAAAATTCAAATGTGTTTTCAAGAAAAGTGAAAAATAAACGAAAGAAATTGTGAAGCAAATATTATTTTAAAAACAGAAAACAAAAATTGAAATCGTTATCCAACAAGGCCTTAATTTTTGTTTCATTCTTGAACTGATCCTTCGATGTATCATTTATTCCTCGTTGGATTATGGCATTGGCTAGTTAGTTGTGTTCCATATAGAGTATGAGCTGAAGTCTGATTTTCTTACCCCAAGCCTAGTTCCCTGATAAATCTTCCTTGTTGGTTATTCATATCCAAGAAGCAAACATATTATTGGGTCATGATGCAAGTTTGTGACTTGACACCGGTCTGTGTTCGTTTGTAACTTACCGCTCTCTCCCTCTCTCTAGATTCCGATTCATCTCTTATCAAGGATCAAAGGCCAAATATATCACAACCAAGTACATCACCCCGTCCAGATTCCCGCAGCACAAATGTTCACAGCAAGGGGGAAAGACCAATTTGGGAAGCTCCGGACACCAAGAATATGCCACCTCTGGAGACTTTTCGTCTAAGCAAGGAACTAGTGCAGCAAAGGGCAAAAGATAACGTAATAATAGTGACGTTTGGTAACTATGCATTTATGGATTTTATCCTTGGTTGGGTTAAGCATTTGACAGATCTCAGTGTTTCTAATCTTCTTGTCGGTAAGTGACTGAATCCTTTCTGATATAATTTTTGTGGCAACCTGTCATTGAATTAATTACTTTTCCCTTCTTTGAATTGGAATGTGTATGTACTCTGTGTTACTTTGAAAATCTGTTTAGGAAGCTTGGATGATTATTTCAGGTGCAATGGACACCAAACTGATGGAAGCTTTGTATTGGAAAGGCGTTCCAGTTTTTGACATGGGAAGCCATATGAGCACAGTAGATGTTGGCTGGGGGTCGCCTACGTTCCATAAGATGGGAAGAGAAAAAGTGATTCTCATCGACTCGATTCTCCCTTATGGCGTTGAGTTGTTGATGTGCGATACTGACATGGTTTGGTTAAAGGTACTTTCCGGAATTGTTATTTGGCTGTTCCTTCAACGTCAAGCTATTTATAACTTTTGGTCTTATATTGGTACTCAAGTTACTAACAACTTTCACCACCTATCGACTTATTGTGGCGAACTTGATTTGCTAAGTTAGTCCCTGGATCACACACTAACTGCAATCCTCATTACACAGTTTCATTTTTTTAAAATCTTTCGTTGATTGATTTCTTTTAATGTTACTATCGGAAAAAAGTTTACTTCATAATCTGCTTCATGTGACAGAATCCACTCCCATATCTTGCTCGTTATCCTGAAGCAGATGTCTTAACTTCGAGTGATCAGGTTGTACCTACAGTGGTTGATGACAGGTTGGATATATGGGACCAAGGTGAAGTGTAAAATTTTCTCCATTCTTCCATGAAATTGATTTAAAAATCACCTTTTTACTTCTCCCAGGCCAAAAAACAAACTATACTCCTTTGACCCACGATTGGCTGTATCATGCTTAATTTTCTGCATTTTTGCATGAAAGATTTACTTTCCATCCTTATTCAGTGGGTTTAAAGGTTGTTGGTATTATTTGGAATAAGGATAACTTGACTGGTCGTTGATGTCTTCATATGCTTTCAAGATACTGTTTTGTTCTGCTGAAGCATTTACAGAAAAGTCCTTGATAATTAGTAATATTTGTGTGAATAATTTATTTACCCTGCTTTATAGATTGAGAGTTTAAGTATATCGTACTTCCGCCATATCAAGTTTAAAGGTGGTAATGCTTTTGAAACAGTTACTGGTGCCTTGAATATTGGAATTTTCCACTGGCGGCCTACACCAGCATCAATAAAATTGGCAAAGGAGTGGAGGGAAATGCTTCTAGCCGATGACAAGATTTGGGATCAAAATGGGTTCAATGAACTCGTTCATAAGAAAATGGGACCATCAGTTGATGACGTCAGCGGACTTGTATATGCTTATGATGGTAATCTCAAGCTAGGAATTTTACCAGCAAGTATTTTCTGTAGTGGACATACCTACTTCGTCCAGGTAATAAGACGTCCACTTTTTTCCTCAGCATCCTTTTTCACTGAGTGTTCGGGCCTTATAGATCTACTTAGTGAACTAACCATCACAGTACAATGGCAGGCCATGTACCAACAATTTAGATTGGAGCCATATGCTGTTCATACTACATTCCAGTACGCAGGTACGGAAGGAAAGCGCCACAGACTGCGTGAGGCCATGGTTTTCTACGATCCTCCCGAGTACTTTGATGCACCAGGTAAATTTTGTATGAGATGTATGGACCGTTCTTTTCTACTACATGATGCACATCATTTTCCAAACCTTCTGCTCCAAGGAATTGAAAAATTCAAGCTATTCTGATAAGCTGTCCCTCGTATTTTAATACCCTTACATGCTTTTGTAATTGTTTTTGTGTTGAAGATGCTTTAATGTTTAATAATGCTCCTTTTCTTGGGAAATTCTGCAGGAGGTTACCTGTCATTTAAGTCATCAATCCCTAAGAGCTTGATACTAGAAGGAGAGCATAACCTTGATACACACTTTACTCTTATTAACTACCAGGTTTTGTGTTCTAACAATAAACCTATGTTTTTCTTATTCGATGTCCTAAAATGTCCCAGTTCTTAGTTTATTTTCTTTCTTTTTTTTCTTTTCGGTACAGATGAAACAAATAAGAACAGCACTTGCTATTGCTTCATTATTGAATCGCACACTGGTAAGAACACTTGAATTTGAGGGAAGGTTAGCTCAAAGTTCCCCAATAGAATTTCTATGGTCATTCATTTCATGTATCCACATTCATGCTTCGCCTCAAATATAATATCATATAGAAGAGAGGGTAACATGTTTTGCGGAGAACTGATAGGGAAAAAAAAAAAGGGAAAGAGATTGCCAATATCTCTTTTTTTACTCTTTCTCAATTTTTTTGAATAACCAAGCTATTTGGGGACTGCTCTTACATTATGTCCATGGTCAATCCCATTAATTTTTAAGAAAATTTTGCCGAATCCCATCTAGCAGCTTGAACCTATGACCTTGGGGAGAAACTGATGAAGAGTTCCGACGACAACGAAGTCGGGGATAAAAAGGGATGTTATGTAATTTAACCGTGCTTAAACAGTGAGAAGTCCCTTTTGCATGTCAGCTAAAAGAAATTTTTTTCATAGAAGGAATCAATAAATTTTATTTACTGCAAGTATGTGTGTGTGTAATAGATTAATAACACAATTCTGAATAATATTTATAGTCTGTAATATGTTTATTTTCTCTCACTTGTGAACTCTAGATCATGCCTCCACTGTGGTGCCGGTTAGATAGGCTATGGTTTGGACATCCTGGAATTCTGCAGGGTTCCGTGACTCGACAGCCTTTCATTTGTCCGTTGGATCATGTTTTTGAGGTACTTCCAAAATTTTAAAATTACTTGACAATTATATTGGTTTAATGGGTTTTTTTTACCATCATGTTAGTCTAATTCTACTCCTTATTGTATTAGCAAGTCTATTATTATCGTGAGGATTTTAGCTTTTACAGGATCTGCAGGCTTAGTAAGATTTAGATGGGAGTAATATTCTGATAGAGCCCAAAATATATTGAACGATAAAAAGATATATGAACTATAAAATAACCCAAGTATTAGAGGTACTTGGACCCTCCCCTCTTGAGGTGTCACTCAAGTCTAAACCATCAAACAATTAGATACCTTCATTCTTACGCACCGTTCTATTTATCACAATTCTCCCTAACAACTTCCTTAATTAGATACCCTCAATACCCTAATAATATCCCTAATTACCCATAAGGCCACTCCTATCATATTCATATTCAACTAATCTACTTTAGAAACAGATATTCAACAAACAAATTGAACTGAAGAAGTTATGCCACAACCACAAATTCAAGGCTTTAACCTGTCGATCGGCTTCCAATGTGATGCTGAAGTTTTCTTTGTTTTCCGGGTCGGTTGGAAACTTCAGACTACTGATTGACCATGCGGAACTGATAAGTAAAAATGTGATTAGGCATCCAAAATCTTGAATGTGTGCTATGTTGAATCTAGAGCATCTTGATCATTAAATAATTTTTACAAATATTTTAGATATTTGTTAAAGAAGAATGCACAATATGTTTTTGTTTATTTTTGTACCAAACAGATAAATGTGATGTTGAAAGAATTACCAGAGGAAGAGTTTGGCCCAGGGATCAACTTTAGAGAGTATTCTTTCTTGGAAAATCCCTTACTTCCAAAACAGGTCTGTATCAACTGTAATTACAGAAACTGTTATTTTTTCTTTACTAGTGGTTTTTACTGAGGAACTTCTGCCCTGTTAATATGTTTTCAGGTGAAAGAGTCGTGGCTTGATGTTCAGCTTTGTAAACAAGAAAGTGAAGGTTGTCATCCAACAAATGACACAGTTCTACCAGGTGTCCTCAAATTTCCTAAAGGCAGCAATGAAGACACGGTAATTGGCGTTTTTCACCATATGAATTCTTTTACTTTTCAAATTTCACTATAATTGAAAAGATTTTAATAATCTAGTAGTAATATGAAGATTGTATTATACGACTCAGATGAATAGACCCCTTGGCCCTTATACTTTGAACAATTTGCTTGAGATTGCGAACCAACGGGACAGCACTGAGATTAAGAAGGATATTGATGCAACATTAGTTAGCATGCGTATAACATGCTTCTTAAAGTGCTTATGGAGGACTAAAAGTTTTTTTTTTGTTTTAATTGGTTGTGTTCAGTTAAAATTTTGACAGGTGCTTTTAAGCACTCTTTAAAGTTTCAATAATCAAAAGTTGTTTGAAGAATCCTAAATTTGTGTAGCCTTAGGATAGCTTGTCCACGTCTAGATCTCTTGGGAAATTTGTGGAGCCAGTAACCCCTTGCAAAATGAGGAAATGAACTCACAAAAAGTCGACCGTGAACGGGGAACGGTTAAAGAGTTTGCTTCAGGCATCTTTTTATGCATCTCTCCATGAAATTTTATTGTATTTCATGTTTTTTTCTTGTAGTTCAAGGCAATATTCTCCACATTCAAGGATGTCAAAGTCATCCAGTTCTCCACGATGCAAGATGCCTTCCCTGGTTTCTCTGACAAGGTAACAACAACATATCCCCTTCGATTCATTTGACTAACAACCACATTTCTTGTTAAATCTCTCATACACAGTATTGATTAACAGAAAAAGGAAGAGAAGTTCAGGAACCGGGTCAAGCGTTACGTTGGCATATGGTGCTGTGTGGAGAACACTACTCCCGGCCACATATATTATGACATGTACTGGGATGAGAAACCTGATTGGAAACCGCACCCGCCCCAAACTCCCGAGGAAGATCGACCTCCTTTATAAGGTCAATGGAGAGAGCTTTTGGTTAAATGTCGATAAAAACAAAGGCATCCAGACGCTCAAGGGCGTTCTATTTATTACTCTTGAGGCATTCGAAACAAAGGCTGTTCGAGCACTCATATCTTTGGAGGTCGAAATCGAGGCTACTCTTGGCCTTACCTTGTTGTTCTCATGGATCACCAGAGAGCGAAAAGAATACAGATAGATTTGATTTAGTTGCCTCCCACTCGTTCTGATAGATGAGCAGACTTGTTTATTTATGTTAGATGGAAAAAGTTGTATCCGTAGTCTCACAAAGAAAGATGATTTTTGCTCTCTGAAGGAGTGGAAGTTTTGACTTTGTACACTTCAAATAAAAGAGAAAGGAAGCAAAATGCGACATAGAAGAAAAATAACTATGATTTTTAAGTATTTTAAGTCAATGGGTGAACGTCTTTTCCAAGTGATTTTTTTGTCAATAATTTTAGTGTGATTTACTATTTACTAATACTTCACCTCTTGGAGTTTTTTCAAATTATTATAATAAACCAAAAACTAAATCCACCAAAAGAAGAGAAGCTTATTACTAAATATTTATGTGGAGCTATATTACCAAGTATCTTCTTAAACAAAGTTGGAGCCAGAAAACTTGACCTATTGGCGCTTTGTTAAGATCCTGACTTTGACTGACAAAAGAAAATTGCAATTGATCCCATAGATATGATACAAAATGAATCATAGTTCTATCACTGACCCAAGATTTCTCTGTAAACAATAGAGAATCAGAATATCAGAATTTGACGCAAGGGCAGGAAGCGTTCCTCGACCCGCAATAGATAAAGGAGAATTTACATAAAAACAATCAAATGTAAGAAAATGCTACCCATTGCTTATTTTTCTTAAATTAGTAAGGAATAGCGAAATCAAGAAAAAAGTAAATAAATAACACAGAGATCTGGTAATGCAATAGAATCTACTCATTTCCTTGTAACATAAGCGAAAGAAATTTTGCCGCAATACAATAATATCTAAAATGTGCAAATACTATTTTTGTTCCTTCCTCGAAACAAATACAAATTTAGGAGCAGGAGCAGGAGGACGAGGACAAAAAAGTGAACATTTGGACTTGCCTTAAAGATGCCTCAGAAAACTGTAGAATTTGCAAGCAGGTCAAATATACTCTACATGCAGAATCAACAAGGTCATCAAGTTAAAACCAATAACCCAAAACACAGATTCCACAAAAACAAAAACCATCCTCCCTTCTTTAGCACTGCACCTCTTTTCTTTTAAGACGGAGATTCGATAATTTGGCTTCCGAGGTGCGCTCTCTATAAGTTGGAAAAACCACAGCATCTGCAACCAAAAACATGAAAAATAGAATACTGCCATCTATTATAAAGGAGAATGTAAGAAGGTGAATCTTTGACAGAGGAATCAAGAATTGCACCTATAAAATTCTCAATCATCCAAATAATAGTAGGAGCCAGCTGACTTTTGCTCCCTATCCTTCGCCGAGTCGACCTTGTTAATTCTAGGCCTGTAATTTGTTGGATCTCTTCTAAACGTAATATCGAGATGCTGCAATTGATCAAAATAAGACCCATCAATGAATAGGACTAGATCTGGAGCAACTGCCCCAATCACCTTTACGGTAGCGACAGACTGAAATAGTATAATAAGAGATTCTTCAAGGACAAAAGTGGCATGTCTTACAGATAAGAAGAGATTCATTCCAGTCAACAACGACTGAGGACAGTTAGCAGTACAATCAACTGATGGCTGACCCTCGTAGACAATAACCCGATCGGCTAGATATGTTGCCATAATAAAATCGTGTTCGACCACAAAAGCAGTCTTTTTTGCATGAAGAATAAACCTCTTAATGACTTTTGACGCAACGATACGCTGCTCAGAGTCGAGGTAAGCACTTGGTTCATCTATCAGATAAATATCTGCAGGCTGCAAAAATTTAGAATAAAACACATATTAATCATCTCCCATGGAGGAATCTTCACTCCCATGCATATACTTTCTATGCAAAGGTCTAGGCATACATATTTCCTTGATCCTAACCACAAATGCATAGGATATTAGATGAAAAGGATGTCATTTGACAGGAACACTAAAGTGAAAAGGTTAATGTACCTTTCCAAGGCATAGGCACAATGCAACTCTCTGCAACTCTCCTCCAGAAAGATTGACAACTTCCTGGTCCATTAATTGTTCAATAAGTAAGGGCTTCATTACATCTGAAACAAATTGCGGATGCATGTAGGAATCTCTTATTTTCTGATGTAGCAAGTGCCTGACAGTGGATGGGAATTTAGGACTGATCTTCTGGGGCTTGTAAGAGACATTAAACTCAGGAATCTCCATATCAGAACCTTCAACAGTATCAGGTTTCAACAAACCAGCCTGTAAATGTGGCAAAAGAGGGATAAATGCTGGACATTTGTTATTTCCAAATCTAAAAATTTTGAGTAAATAAGCAAGGAAAAGACCAAATACCAGCATTCGAATAAATGTTGTTTTTCCTGTTCCATTCTCACCAAGCATCACAATAATCTGTGAATCAGTAAATTCACCCTCTACCACACGGAGCTTGAAATTTCCCTGAGTTTTAGACATGGTTGGGTATTTATATCGTGCATATGTTTCAATTTCCTCCGCGCTTTCCTGAGGGGTCTCAGCAACCTAGAAGAAAGAAAAAGCAAGGACCGATTGTAATGATATCAAGATTCCATCCCAGAGTTAAAAGTCAGAAAAATCACTACCTTGAAGGTAAGAGATTCATCTCTAAATCGTAGATTTTCTGTGGGAACAAATCCAGCCAAGAAGATGTTGATTCCTTCTCTAACGGAGAAGGGAAGGGTTACAACTCCATATGCACCCGGTTTGCCATAAAGACAGCAAATGAAATCAGACAAGTAATCCAGGACGCTAAGATCATGCTCCACAACAATTACGTAGCTGCAAAAGGGTGTACAGAGAACATCAAACTAACATAAGAGAATTAAATATGCATACATAAAACATGCAAGGAATACAATAAAAAGGGTAAAAGAAAACCTATTGGGCCTGAGCAGAGATCGAATCACTTGAGCAGCTTTAAGTCTCTGTTTCACATCAAGGTAACTTGAGGGTTCATCAAACATATAGATCTCTGCATTCTGTATGGCAACCACAGCAATGGCAAATCGTTGAAGCTCTCCACCAGACAGATCACCAACATTGCGATCTATAACCTGATTAAGTTCAAGATCATGACAAAGTTCTTCCTTCATATTCCTCTCATCTTTTTGCTCTAGCACCTGGCCAACATTCCCTTGAACTGCTTTTGGAATGTGATCAACATATTGGGGCTTTATGATTGCCTGATATTACAGGAAAGAATTGGTTATTACTAATGAATAGTAAAATTATTGATGTATCAACCACATTTGATTTGACTATTAACTAAATCAAAACCATTGCACGCATATGCAGCAGTGATTGGGAAGGCAGTAAACAGAAATAAGTAATGTCAAGAACTAAAACATGTACCACTCTAGGGTTGGTCAAGCATGTTACTACATCCCAACATTACAAAATACTTTTCTAAAAGCTTCATTCAATAGCTCTTCTAGCATGCCTATACCTTTTCTATGCGTTCGATGATAAGAATATACGTATACCATAATACTAGTTCTACAACAAGAAATCCAATAGATAATAAAGCTAATTGATGCCACATTGTTGTCAAGCTATGCAGTTAAAATTGTGTTCGTCATGGTGGAGGTACTAGCAGAACTATTTTCCGGATTTCCCTCCTAGGGATTTTTTCAGCAAGACATACACTCCTCTATAAAGCAACAATAAAAAACTAAGAACAATAATAAAGGTGTTCGTAAAGTACTCTTCAAATTTACAATTACTATTTAATTTCTCCATAAAATATTCTGGATTTCAGAATTATTAATCAATTATGATGATAGATTTGAGATTCACTATTCACAAGGACTCGTAAAGACAAGTAGGGGCTCAAAGAAGACAAATATAAGTTTGATCAGCATTCCAACTTTGTGTTGTCGTTTGTTTTCCATTTAAGTTTTAATGGAATGAAATAGGAGAGGTATAAAATAAAATACTCATATTATATACTTATTTATATGACAGGAAGAGCAATAATCCTACATTTTAAATCGTACCAATATCCACTCACTAGCTTAATTATTTTCTGAAAACATGTAAAAGATGTACCAGACAACTTAAGGTATTAGAGCATACTATCACCTTTAGATTATCTTCAAGGATACGTGTAAAATAATTCTGCAACTCAGATCCTCGAAAGTATGTCAATATCTCCTGCCAATCTGGAGGGTTCTGAAAATATGCATGTAAAGGGTGTGAGCTATATTAGACAACAAAGTGAAGCAAAAAAGGAAATCGAGAATGTTACATTGAAACGACCAAGATTTGGTTTCAGTTTTCCAGCCAAAACTTTCAGCGCAGTAGACTTCCCAATACCGTTGGTTCCAACAAGACCAAGAACTTGCCCAGGCCGAGGCACTGGTAACCTGCAACCGCATTATCCTTCAATTTCAAACCAACACAAATTTATGATTTCACAAGCTTGGTAAATAAAATAACCTGTGCAATTTGAAGGTGTTAGGGCCATATCGATGTGTTGTGTCTTTATCCAAATCCTTTGGCAGATTGATGATTTGAATTGCCTCAAATGGGCATTTCTGTATCAGTGTATCATGGCAAGAACAATTTGGCATATTAGTCCATTATAATTACTCATGTGCACATCACAAGAATTCCATAACAATTGATTCATACACATGCAAACAGCAAAACATGCACAAACCTTGACACAGATACCACATCCAATACACAATTCTTCTGAGATGAAAGCGATCTTCGAGGCTGGGGTAACCTCAATACACAGTTTACCTGCAGAGAGATTAAACATTAATTAAGTAGCAGAGCAATCAACCATAATCAAGAAAAGATTTGCATGAATCAATGTTTAGAAGCTGAAAAAAAGATTTAAAAAAATAATATAATATAACAGAGTCGTTCATAGTTCGTATCAAATCATCATCAATTCATTGATATGCCTAAACTTATTTATTAATCGTTATCATTAATAAATAAGAGAGTAAAAAAGTTGAACTCTCACGAGAAGACAAAAAAAAAAAAGCATCCCCAGAAACATGATGAACAGCCCATAAAAAGGTGGAACTTATTATAAAAATAGGTACGCTTTTTAAATCAATTGTATGTTTTCTGGTGATGAAAACAAATATGCGAAACACGCAGGATGGTAGATAGACTACAATTTTATTCGTTTTCCGCAATCAAATTATTGGGACAGGCTTGAAAGGTATTTCAACATCTTTCAGCAAAGAAGAAATATATTTCCGAGTAGGGTTATATCTTCAGATTGCTCTAGGGAACAAATTAATTGAATTAGAATTCTCTGACTCATCGAAAGCCTTCAAGAAAATTATAAAAGACAGTAACACCTGAACCTATAACCCTACTACAACAACAAAATCACCATCCATCCAGTTGAAATACTAATATCCTCCAGATAACCGAAAGTAGATCAGATCAACGACATCAAAATCAACAAAACGATCAATCTGATTCTCAATTACAAAAGAGTAAGAAGAAAAAAAGAAACATAAAATACCAGTTTTAACAACGGGGCAACTCTTCTTGCATTCCTGACGGCACTTTTTAGGCTTGCACCTATCCGAACTCACAATAGCAATACGCGTCAGTCGATCCGCCATCTAATCACTGCGAAGAATTACAGAAGCAATTAGATGCGTATAATCGACCAACAAACGGAGCTGAGAAGCAAATCAAAATGAAAGCATCCGAAATCCGAGATGGAGAACTCACCAGAAATGAAAAACCCCAAGTAGCGGAAGATTATCAGATAGGAAAACAAGGAGGTAACCGAAGAAACAAGAAGAGATACGAGCAAGCGTATGGCACACGCACAGCTCCAAGTAAGCTTTCTAGGGTTTCTTTTTCCTTCAGATGCAGTAAAGACCCGAATGGCGGTTATTTCGGGTCTTTTTTGCCCCAACAGAGAGGAAACCAGGTTGGCTATATCATATGCCGAATACGAAAGGATAAAAAATTCGGAGCGACCCGGAAGAATTAAAGTGGGCCGAGCCCGATTAGAAATTCTACGTGGAGATTGAGAATTCAACTTCCAAAAATTAACATATTTTAACCGCTTGTATTTGATGTTGGCAAAAAATTGTATTTATTACACAAATATTGAAAATAATAATTTAATGTGTATGGTTTTTTTGTTCTAAATTACATAAAAATACTCTTGATTTTTTTGTTCAAAAATTATTACACAAAATACTTTGAAACTGGTTAAAAAAAAATCTCTGTGAACAAACATCCATTTTTCAAAATATAACAAACATCCATTAATGGTTGAATCTAAATACAATTAAAGTCTCAATTTTGTATCCCAATTTTAACTTAATTCTTTTTTAAATTCGTCCATATTTTCTATTTTAACTTAATTCTTTTTTAAATTCGTCCATATTTTCTATTTTTTCAAATTTAATTCAGTTAATTTAACGAGACTCACATCTTAATAATTGATTTAGATATTGATTCAAATAATAATATCATATTACTTTTCTTTACCACAAACATAATGTTCTATTTATTCGTTTCCATTTCAAAGACATATGCTAACATTTTCTTCTAATACCACATTTAATTATCATAAGACTCATAACTTTTTGATATCCTAATTCGGTGAATCAGCATATTTTAATTTCAATTCGTGTTTTTAAGATCACTGGAAAATTTACCAAATTACATAAAAAATAGATAAATACTGGAAACCAGTGTACTTTTTGCGAGTAATAGAGGACATGGCAGAAAAGAGTAACTTAAAAATGGTCAAGGATCAATACGTAAAGTGTCGAGACCTCGAGTATTGATATGAAGAGGCTTTCTCATGGCCCACTAAAAGTTGAAGCAAGAGATAAAGAAAGAACCTTCCCTTATTCAGCATTGTAATCAAATATATAACAGAATGGACTCACTTCTGGGGGCAAAGAAAATAAGGAACAAAATGAAACAAACATCACGGCGTTTTCACGTTGCCTCTTCAGTTTTCCGAAATCCCTGCCCATGCTCGAAAATTTTGCCACGTATCTCACTCGTCGTGAATTTGTAACGTCTTGAAATCCCAATAGTATCTACTCGTACAAAAACTCAACATTGTCTCTACAGTACAAAAAGTAAACTAATCTGGCAGTAAGTACATACCTGCACTGGATCTTAACAGCCTTCGAGGTTTTTCTGCCGTTCATTTCGGTTGCATGTGCAGTTTCAATCGCAGTCTGTCTTTTGGATAATGGTAGTTTCACATCACATGGCTAATCTGCTGGAAGGTAATGAGCACAAATCATAAATAAGTCTCGCTTGGGCCTCCCCTGAAATTGCTTAGCCAAGTAAGTCTTTAAACAAGTTCGGATTCTGACTCGAAGGGTTCACACCCATTTGCCTCGCGACTGCATCCTTTTCCAAGGATGCCTTCACGTTGGGGCCCTTGCTAAATTGTGGGAGATTTGAAATGGTAGTTTCTCCCTGACCCGTCTTTGCAGCTACTTTCGACAATCCAGAAGTGAGATCCAAATCAACCTTGTTGGAGGATAGGAGATCCACAAAGTTGCTTCCTTGTCCACTCATGGTAGTCCCAGAATATAATGCCATCAAATCTGGTGCTTTATTGGGTTCAACAGCTTTAGAATTCTCGGTAGAAGAAATCTGATTTTCTTCGAGAAGCCCTTCCAGCTGCTTAAATGGATCAATAGACGGTGCGACACTGGTGACTGCCGGTTCACCCAAGTCGAGGAGGTCAGGAGGAGGCGGTTGGTGGCTTGCCTTTGGTGCAGCAACTTCTGCAGACGCGGCTGTTGTCTTAGCTGTGTGATGCGTCTTTGTAGCTTTATGGGCAGCAGAGGGTGCCCTTTTTTCAGTTTTGGATGAACCCCCAAATAAGGAAGCAGCAAGCTTTTGTTTCTCTGAAGAAATCTCAGGCTCCGCAGTCTTTGAGTGGTACGTATCACGTGGTTTTGAGCTTGCAGAACTAGTTCCATCAATCTGGGACACCCCATTTACTGCTTTCTGAGGAGTGGAAGTGGTCGCAGATGAAGCAGAAGAAGAGTAGGTCGGCCTTCCCCACTTCTTCTGAACACCATCAAGTCGTAACTTGACACCAGACAAACCATCATCTGATACAGATGGATCTGATGTAGACTGGTATGTCTCCCTAGGATGATATGGTTCCGGTACGGGAACCAGTTCAGCCGAGATTGCAGATGAAACAGGAGGGACACTTGATGGCACTGGAGGCCTCGGAAGCTCATAAGCCTCAAATCTAAGGCCATGGGACACAGCTTCCCGTTGCTCAAGACTCTTGATGGTACTAATGTCTTCCATCCTAGATCGCTGACTCTCGGGAATGTAAGGCTGGGCACCATTTTCAAGTGACTGCTGCACATAATTGTTGAGGAACGAGAGATCTTTATCAATCTGCAAGGAGAACTGAAGTATGTTACTACTACAGCATAAAATAAAATACAAAGAAAGTTTGTGATAAAGTCCATATTTCATCAGATTATGGGCATAGAAAACACTTATCAGATGGAAAAGAATAGAATATGTATATTGACATAAGTTGGCCTAAGAACTTCACTCAGAAATTGGAGGAGAATAAATTAACCAAAATAGACAAATCCAAAACGAGTATGACATCTTCACAAGAAAACATGGACTGACATTTCTTTTATAACCAGAAAGGAGAAGCAAAAAAATGGTCTTGGAGTGAAAAATGTGACCTCAATATCTTCACAGCTTGCATCGGCTGGCATTATATTCTCAACAGCTCGAGCTTCTAGACCTATGGTGGCCTGCAATTCATACGCACGTTGCTGCAAATCTGTTGAGTGGGATGCCGATAATTCTTCGATCAAAGATTGACACTACAACCAGAGAAATAAACAGTTTGAAATCCACCAATTCATAATAAATATTTCTATTTATGAAAATTAAAAAATAATTAAAGTGACAGATTTTAGTAGGGTTGCCAAGTAGATGAACTTAGAAAAGAGTAATATCAAAGAGAAATTACAATATTGATAGCCTTTCGAGAGGGCTATCTCTCTCCCAACCTCACCACAAACTATTCTCCAAGATGCTCTCCTTCTCCCCTACTACCCTTATTTATATCCATCTTACCCCTAACTAATTACCATACTACCCCTTCATACTAACAAATACTAACAAATAAATATTCCCTGTAGCCCTAATAGGGCTCTCACACAATGAAGTTAATAAACAGTAAACCAGTTAACCCTTCCAAGTTCCACACGCTGAATTCGACAACCAGATGAAGTTGTAAATCTTCAAATTAGACCATCCATTTCAGAACAAAATAAAGAAAAACGGCAAACATAAACTTTTTAAATTTACCTCTGGTAGTATATCCACTTTTCTCCCGGACATCTTCTCAAATGCATATACTTTCATGAGAGCTGTCACCGCATAAGCCTTCAAAGAGAACCACATGTACAGATAAAACATCAGTGAGGGAAAGGAACGACTGACGATCATGAAAGTTTCTATAGCTTTCGGAAAAATTGTTGCAAATTACTTAACGTGGTGTCAATTGAAAACAAGGCAATAACTGCTAACCCTCCAAATAAAAGCAACACATGTCAAAAGCACACTCTCAACATTTTCCGTTTTGCAAGGAAATTCTTTGCAAATTACTTGAGGGATGATGTTAGCCTACTGCTATTACAATTTCTCATTTGTCCATGCCTGTTTGGGTTATACTTATTTTTTTAAAAACATCCTGGTCTTGTGCTATAATATTTCAGAAAGATAAAAATAGTACTTGCTTTCTTAAACCCATAGCACAACTTATTGGCATTTTAAGTGCATTCTAACCTCAGATCAGCACTCAGTTGGTGACAAGTTAGATAACAGTGCATTAGGACTACAGCTGAACAAGAACTGTTTATGCTTCCCAAGTAGAGGACACAAATAAGAAATCATTTAATCAACTATAGTAAAGTCCCTTCAACAAACTAGCAAAGAAAAGACATGAACAAAGGTGCAGAAAATCTAAACTGGCGGTCCTTTTTCAGTAACATGTTCATCATACATTCATCCATCGTCCATGTAATTTCATTAGATTTTGAAATTAATTTTCAATTAACAAAAGCTGCCAAGAATAGCTTATCTTTTTCTTATCGTCATCCATGTTCTTAAAGTTTCTATATCAAATACTAAATGCGTTTCCTATAAGTCACAAATCATTGAAATTACACGTTATATTTTATCATGCAAAACAACAATATGTAAACAATAATAACAAAGTAATTTCTATTATTTTATTAAACAAATTAGAGCCCATTATAAAGAAGAAAATAGAATGAGGCAATACAATCAAATGAACAGGAAAGTTAACCACCTTAACCTCTCTATATCATCAAGGCCTTCTTGATTATAGGCATACCTTGACACTTTCATCATTTGAATATGCTTCGGCCACATCACATAGCTTTCCAGCAATATAGGAGGCCGAGTACTTTCCATCAGCAGTTCCATACTCCCCCAAAACCCAACAGATAACCTGAAATCAGAACTAACTCAAGATATCAAAAAGGACTGTTACTTTTGCAGTTTTTACAACCAGTGTCGGAGAACTGTACCTGAAGAAATGCAGATGGAAGCTTTGGGTTCCCAATAATGCGCAAATATGACTCCACCTATGTATGATAAATAGTTTTCTTTAACAAGGAAACTAATGCAGAAAAGGACGGAAGTTTAAGAAAGAATCCATTGACATTTAACTGCATAAAGGCAACCCTTGTGGTTGTTTACAACCCAGAAAAAACATGGAGGATAAAAAAAATAGAGATAATACATAATGGTACTGTTTTATAGCCACTTTTAAAACAAATATAATTATATTATTCTGAGGAAAATATCCAATATATATAACATAACTTTGGAGACTCAGCTTTGCAATGCTTCTCTCCGTATGCTGGTACATAAGGTAAATCAAAAGTAAATAAAGATGAAATACATTATGCATTAAAATACAGTTTTTTTTTTAAAAAAAAGTACATTATACATTGAGGAAAAAAAACGTATAGAAATTTTTTAAAAAATAAAAGTGTTCATCATCCATGAGAGACAACAAAGAAAGCTTTTGGACTCCTAGATCTCCGGAGTGATACTAAGAGGTGCTAAACAATAACTGTAACATAAAACACAAATAAAATGGTCACTATTTTTTAGAGCGTGAAGGCCATCGAGGTGCAACAGCTCTCCAAAACTTAAGCTTAAGGAGAAAAAAAGAAAAAGCAACCCTAATTGGTAGGCATGCAAGATATAAAATATATTGAAAAAAATAGTATTATCACAATGAAATGCACGAGTGTGTACTTGATACTGTTACATTGTGACTTTGATAACAATCTAGCAAACAAAATAATAAAGAGTACCAATGAAGTCACACACCGCAGATGATCTCAGCTGGCTATCTACTGTATCGCCATCCTCTCCAAATCCTTCAGCAATCAACCGCATCAAATCATGTGCGACTTTAATATTCACCAAATCTCCAGCGTGCTCAAAAACTTTATTGATGGTCTGAAGAGGATTAAGGAATTTGCCTAACAGTAGAACAGTAATAATAATTACTCGATAGACAAACAAGAATGAGATAGTGCTAAATACCTGAATGAACCAATGGTTATTAGGAGCAAATTCCTCGGCAAGTTTAACACATCTCGATGCAATATATGTCTTGTAATGATGGTCAGTAATGCTTATCATATATTCAATCATGCGATTGACGATTACTTCCACGTTGGTGGACTTGGTCATTGTATACAATAGTTCAAATGTTTTTCTCTTTAAAGTATCATCTGGATCCTGAGAAACAAACAACAAACCTCAGATACAATTATAAAGCAACCTTGAATACAGAGTTGCAGACAAGATATTTGTAATGGAAAGGGTATAAAAATAAAAATAAATTGGACTGCAGCTCGATCCATCTTCAAACACAGTAACAGAAAAGAACAAACAACTATGCATGTAAGGGCCATGTATGTATTACATTTTTTTGAATGAAAAACCAAACTTTCAATGAGAAACATGAAAGAAAAATACAAGGGCGCACCAAAAACTGCCCCTCAAAAAGTAGTCCCAAAACTACCTATGTATGAATGAACAATAAACCAAAAGAATAACACATAATTACCAAACGATTGAGTAACCAAAGCCCACAAAGAGGTGTTAAACCTAACAATATCCCCCACCTCTTTCTATGATCTCTCAACCTCTCTAAAAGCTCTACATTCATCTCAAGCCACATATTCCACAAAATAGTAAAGAAACAAGCTTGTAAAAGGACCGTGCCCTTATATCTAAAAGGAGGAATAAAAAAATGCATTATGTGTTTTACACATTTTATCGAGACTCGCCACCTGGTAGGGAAAGAAGAATGTCACTCACCTCCATACAATCAATCACAGCCAGCTGATGTTGTTCAGCGATGTCCGGACTTAGTTTTATAAGTCGACCAAGTGCATCAATGCCCATATATTTTAGATTATGACTATCACTCTGGCCACAAAATTGTGCAAAGTAAATATAGGTCAAAGCCAAAGTTGATTAATAACGCTAAAAGAGTATACAATGTACAAGACAGTAGAATCGAACCTTTAAAAATCTAGAGATTACATCAGCAGCAGCTTCCAACAACTTAGGATTGGGGTAAATAGAAGAGACGCAACATATACTTTGGTAAAGCACTGCATTTCCTATATTACTCAAAGGATCGCACTTCTTAAATATATCCCCGACGACAGTATACATGTGTTCGCTTGCTTGCTTGTCCCCAGCACCCAGTAATGCAAGAATTTTCAATAATTTGATCTGTACAATTAAATCCACTTCAATTGAAAGGAAAAGAAAGGTTACTGCAGAAGGCAAATTAGCAGCTAAGTAACCTTATCAAGCAGAGCGCACAGGGAAACCTATAGGTGACTTTTGTTATTAGTGTTGCAGAGATTATCAGACCTGTATGAATGGAGCCGGCATCTGATGGTAATCATAACTCTTCGGCAATCTGCGTTCAGCTACTTGTTTAAGAATGCTTACGAAGCTGACAACTAAATCTTTATAGGAATTTACATCCGTGGTAATGAGATCAAAAAGAGGGCAAAGCGTGGCTCCCATGACTCCTGGATCGTTATCACACAGCCTCTGCAACCAAAAAAAAAAAGAATCAAATAACTTCTCGCGGCCCTGAATTGCATGAAAACCAACAACCAAGTATCGAACTTTGAACACCCACCTTCCGGAAATTGGAGATGAGATGCGATACGGAAGAGGGTGATTTCTGATGGAAGCGATGAAGAGCCATGATAGCCTTCTTTCTAACGGCCTCCTTTGAGTGTCCCAAAAGCTCGACAATCTGCGGTAACACTGCTGGTATAGTCTCCTCGTTGATAAGCCTACACACCGCATTGAGAGCCGCACAAACAACGAGATAATTGTCAGACTTGAGGTCTTTCTGGATGGTATTAACAATGAGGATGATGAGATCGTGATCCTCGTTGAGAAAAAGAGTGACGGCCAAATAACCAGTGCGCTTCAACAGAAGATTATCGTCATGAGTCATCTTGACGGCATGGATGTAGCCGAACGAAGCATCGTGACCGAGCATCTCAACATACACGAGACGAATAATGTACTCCTTCATCTTGCGCTTGGGAATGTCGGGATCGGTGAGGCGGCGTTTCAAAGTTTCCATCTCGTGGACGATAATTCGCTCCTCCTCGGCCTTGGATCTGGCCTCGCCGATCGATTTAATCAGATCCAGAAACTCCTTCGACTGCCCAAATCCTCCCTGAGAGCCCATGGCAAGCTCTCTGCCGATCGTCTTCAACTGCTCCATCTTCTCACTTTCTAATTCTAATCAATCCACAGAAACAAACATAAAACTTCTAGGGTTTATGATCCAGAGAAAGCCACGGAATACTGAGCTTATCAATACTTCCAAAACGAACAATTGAACGAATCGGAAATTGGAAACTTCGGAATGAATGATGACCACACGGCAATCGCCGGACGCCGCCGGATGTCGGAGAAGTAGAGGCAGGTGGTTCTTCGCAGTTCTGTGGAAGACAGAATTTCTTCTCCCTAATTCGTCTTCTTCTTCTTACGGTTGCGTGTGTTTTTCGTCAATTGAGATCGAAAATTTCACATCCTTCTCTGACGAACACATTCATTTAAGAAAATAATAATAATAATAACAATAAATGAATTTTTATAAATTATACACATGAATTAAATCATTGTAAACTCGCATTTAATCGGGTCAATTTTAATTGAGCTGGTGAATTTCACTAGATTCCGGGGAATTTTGACAGACGATAAAGTGAAAATCCGAATTTTCAAGTTTACATTTTCTTCTAAAAAATAAAATAAAATAGAACGAGTATCACGTGCGCGTTTGCTTATTTCAGTGATTTTTTCTCTTCGATTTAAATTTAATTAATTTTTTCTGTTCAACAACCTTTTATTAATGTGTATGGTTTGAGAGGTTGGTGATTTAAATTCTATTTAATTGATTTATAGATTTTTTTTATTTTTTTTTTTGCAAAGATGATATGTATTTGCAAGGGGAAAATGACCATCTCGTTTGATTCATAGATTTTAAAACATTATACTTCACTCTCCTAACTTTGAATATTAAAAAATAAATTATTTTAGGTCTTGTTAATTAGGTAAAATATAGACACATATTCGGCTTGATTTTTGTTGAATGTCGTGAATATAAATTTTTGTATTTAGGTCTAAAACGGATTTAATTTTTGTGCGAGATAAGTTTTTTTATTTTTTGTAAGATAATTAGTGGAGGATCAATGTCAATATAATTAATATGAATTTTATGTGTAGAGAAGAAAATACAATATTCAAAGTTATAAACTAATATGTAATGTTATTTAAATTAATCTCTTAACTAGTTTAGACATATATATTATGACTAAAAATATGAATATTTGAATCTCCACTCCATATGTTGTTAAATTATAAAAAAACGTCACTTAAATATATAAAATTTGGTGACCAAAATATGGTGGCTTTGAAATATTTGAAGAGTCGTTAACCATCCAAATGATTAACTTAGTGTAGGTGTCAAGTTATCTAACACGCTCCTCCATAAGGTGATCAAATTCAACCAGATGTCGTCACGTTCAAGACTATTGATATGTTTAACATTATTTTTTTGGGTCTCGACCATCTGCCCCAATAATTCACTTACAGTCAGCTTGTCTATAGGGACATTCACTACATCGATTATGTAAGTTTTGTGATAGAGCTCGTTCAGTCGAGATTCCATAAATTGAATGTTATCGATAACTTCGTGGTATATAATAACTATTATTCTACTACAACAAGTCTGTCGACACATATCTTGCTTGATTACTATTTCCCAACTAAGTTATTGTACCAACTATTACAATTGCACTCCGACTAAATTTATAGAGCGATTGTACAGCACTTGCTTTCTTCCACGCAAGTAAGTTAGCCTACTTAAAGCTAGATCATTAATGGCACAACATGACTATTTTGCAACTTTCGACCACATTATATCGATCAAACTATCTTAGAAAAACGTGGTAGAAAAAAGGTTTTGAAAACATTAAAAAAACATTCTAGGCAACATATTACTTTATCAAACAAAATATAAGATACATCGACTTGATCATAACATACGACTACATGTATGACAAATAAGCTTATTTAATTGGTAATATTGGATATGAAAATAAGCTCCACCTTCTTCATTTTTTCTAATATACAACATGGGGGGGTGTGATCGAATTCACGACCTCTCGGTTAGAGATATGATCTTCACCTTCTTCATTTAATTGATAATCTTAGCAACGTGGACTTAGGATTTGACAAATAAACAGGAGGGTTGAATTTATGATTTATTGATATTTGTGCCCATCTTTAGTTAAAAACTAGTGTTGTTGATTTAGTTTCTATCATAAAAAAATAATATTAAAATTTGAAAGATTTTCTATAGGTTTAGATCCATATGAAATGTATTTACAAATTACAAATATCAAGTTGTTATATAACAAGAATTGACACTTAATTTTGATGAAAATTTGTATGATAAAGATTAACTAATTACAATTTTTAAACTAGAGTACATTAAAGTTCACAAACTAAATTATTATTAAATTGAAATTACATTAATTAAATTGTTACAAACTAAATTATTATTAATTTGAAATTACATGAATTAAATTGTTACAAACTAAATTATCATTTGTTAAAAGTGATATTTTAATTTTTAATATTTTTGTTATTCTTTTGTTTTTTTTTTAAACAAGTATTTGTGTCAGGGTGGTAAGGCAACACGAGCATAGGTCAGAATTTAGTTGGCAACGAAGAGGTCAGAATTTGACCTCATTTGGCAACACGAGCATAGGTCACTATTTGACCTCATTTGAAGTGGTCAGAATTTTAACCACCCATCCCCAATGTTGTATAAAAAAAATTGAAAAATTATTTAATTTTAAAATATGTATATTATAAAAAAGAAGAAGAAAATACGGAATAACCGAGAAAATTTGTCCCTCCCTCCCATCTAAAGAAAACGTCACATTTATAAGAAATTAAATATATCGTTTAAGAAAATTGTATGCTAGATTTTCAAAAGAAAAAAAAAACAGACAATTGTATGCTATAAAATTCTTAACGAATCAGTTAAATTTTAATGTCAATTTGAGTATAGCTTGTTTTCCAGTTTAAAATGTCACGAGTTCAAATCTCTGTCTATGTATCATACTTAAAAAATATATATATATTTTATTATTGTTTAAACAAATGAATATTTTTTCTATAACGAATAAATCAAACACAATAATCACTCCATTGATATATAATATAATAAATAGTTACCTCACATATAGGATGCGAGAATTTTCCTATAGCTTGCACATAGTCGAATACAAAATTGACATCACTTTTGAAAATAAAATTTAGACTTTAGGTTTTTTTCTTTTTTTTTTTAAATAAATAAAATACATAATATCAACGGGCTACTGGACTGCATTTATTTCTTTTAAAAATAATTTTTTATACGCTATAGGCAATAATTTGTTTTTCCTTGTTTGCATTACTCTCTCAGCTTGCTCGGATTATTTTTTCCCCCTTAGAGCAATGGGCAATTTACATTTGGTGGAGCGTGGCAAAGAAAAAAATAATAATAATAAATAAATAACGTTTACATATGATACCATATTAAAGTTGTATTTGGGATAAAATTAGCAGAATTTATCATTTAACCAGAAGAATATAATATAAAGCTCTCCTTAAATACTAATTTTTTTATTTTTTTTTTCAGGAAACCTTAAATACTAAATTACTTACAAACACAACGTGACTTAGATTAAAAACAGAAATCTTAACAAACCTGTAACTGATTTACAAAATAAAAATCTTTTTACACAGGACTCTAATAATCACTTGAGCTATGCGCATTAACGGATTTCTTAGAATTTAGTGAATTTTCTGGTATCTGCATAGAAATGGAAAGCTCCTAATTTTCTGGCCAATATTTATCTTATTTCAAGGGTGCTGATCAATGTATCTACTCACCGTATAAGCTAATTGATTTAATAAGAATAAAAAAAAATATTTAATATTGTTGTATATTTTAGATACTCTAATTATATGATTTTTAATAGAAAATACATACCTTAATCAGTTATTTCAAAGAATTATATATTATATAAAAAGTATATAAGATATAAATATTAAATCAAGCTCAGTAAAGGAAATGAAGATGGGAATTTGCAGATAGTAGAATTTGAGAATTTATAGGCAATGAGGAGGAGTGAAGTTAGATGAAGCAAGAGAGTTGTGCGTGCAACTCCTACCCATTCAAAACGGCTTAGCAAGAAGAGCATGACCAGAACTCACACTAGTTGGATGGTTATTTTTATAACTCATTTTTTTTTTTTAAATTATATTTGAAAAACAATTGTTTTTTTTTTACCTCTAAACTAGACAAATTCTGTGTAAAGGTAGCGAGTTTGAATTCCCCAACCTCCAATGTACTTAAACGTTTTTTTTATAAGTTTAAATTTAGATGAGTGTCACAATTTATTCATTATAATTGCTTAATTCGTCCCTTAATTTTTTTTAAAAATAATTTAATAAAAATCAAGTTGATTAATACACAAAATTGACTATTAAACAACTCTGCAAAAATTTACAAATAAAGAATAAAGCAACTATTTTTTTTTAACTTATCAATTTCATATTAAATATATATTTTAGGATTCAGTGGATAAATATCACAGTATATTTTTTAACAAAATTTAAAATGAAAAATTGATTGGAGAACAAAAATTGCAAAGGTGAATATGTAGTTCGTTTTTAAATCGTAAAACAAATAAAAATTAAAAGGTAAAAAAAGGTTGTAACGGTAAATTTGGTGGAGAGGAGACAGCCTGGATCTACTAGCTTCTGAACTGTTGACAGCTGTATGTTTGACTGGGTCTTGACCGTTGACTAGGTCAAATATTTTTTCGACTTTGGTCAAGGACTCGAAACCTATATAAAGTGAGACCCTCAAGACTTGATCGCCGCTCTCAACACGGTCATGGGCATTCCTCTTCTGATGAAGATTCTCGTCTGAAAAAAGAGTTGTGAGATGAGATAGGTCAAATTCCTCCATTGATATCACCGCCTCAATCTCTGTAATGCCGCATTGCCGGAGGGAAGGAAATGTGAGACGGAGAAGCCTGTGGATGGTTCGAGACAGAGGATGATTCAAGAGAGGAAATCTACTATGGAAGAATGAATGAATTTGGAGAAGACGTCGATCTTCAACGCTCTTTAGGTATTTTTAGAACAAGTGCGATTTTATCATGTGGCTGATTATTCTCCGTTAATGGCTCGTATCGACTGAGATTTAATGGTGTGGAGGATTCGGGAGTAGAAATGCTGGTGGTCAGTTTGGAGATCACGAAGGAGCATTGGCGAGAACTGAAGATCAATTCTAGTGAAAGAACGATGGCCTGAAGCATCTTAGGGCACAAATGCGGGAAGGAGAAGTCGGCGATCGATTTGAAGCGGAGGAGGATTGGCGAAAATTGAAGAATTCTAGTGGAAGAATCATGGAGTTTGTAAACAACGATCTTCAGGTACGAGCGAGAAATCGATGGCGATTTTATTCCATCATTGATTCTTAGGGCACAAATGCGGGTTGAACAAGCCAGTTGTCGATCGGTTTGAGGCGGAGGAGGAACGGGTAGAAGAATTCTACGGAGGAAGAGCAAAAAAGATCGGCAAAGACGGTGAGAAAATCTTTCTTCAGATTCTCTTCGTCTCGAACTTTTTCTTGTTTTTCGATCAATTATGAATGTCCACTTTTTTCCAGGTTCAATACAAGAAGATATATCAATGGTTTACTGGAAATGCGAGATTACCAGAGCAATCAAGAAAATTATGCAGCCGTAACGAGTCTAAGGACCATGAATTTCCAAACTTCTGGATCGAAATAATAAATAATATAAAATGTTCTAACGTTAGTATGATCCTCGGAAAATGTATATATTAAAATTAAAGGGTTTTTAAACATTTAAACAAAATTACCGATCTTTCGGGGAGAAAAAAGAAAAAAAGAAAACCAAGATAAAATAAAATAAAATTACGTGCCAAAAAGATTTGGCGCCGACCCAGTCAAGCAACTATATATATAATTACTCTTGCACAGGAAGAGAGTAAGTTCGCGGCAGCGTCATATTCTGTCCTTCTCCAAAGACTTCGTTAGGAAGGATCGGGAAAGCGAGGGCGACGCTGCACCAAATCGGAAGAAAACCCTAATCGACGGAATCACACCGAGTTACAGTTACAGAGTTTGTTGCTTACTTCACTCTTCTGTTTGGTATCCTAATATCCATTTCGAGGTTTGAGGTTCTCTCGATCGATGGCGGCTGAATCTGGCTCCGGATTATCTTCCTCTAATCCCGTGGGATCCTACATTGGGAGCTCGATAAGTCTCATTTCCATGTGCGAGATTCGTTACGAAGGCACACTCTACCACCTCAACATCCAAGAGTCTACCATCGGTCTGAAGAACGGTATGTACGGATTCACAGTATACTAAGCTTTCTCTTTCTCTCTATCGCTTTGTTTCGTTCTGATGTTTGAATTTATGTAATAAATGTGTTCTATATATTTTGTGGAGATTTGTCTGTTCTGGTCACTGCCAGTGATCATTACTTAGTAACAGAAGAGTCGATATCGTTGATGGAGATTGCCAACAATTACCTATTAACATAAGAGTCTATTCTGGTCGCTGCCGTTAAACTTCGATTGTTTTATTTGAGTTTTTTGCTCTCAAACCTTTTTTACTTCTTTGTACTCTTCAAATAAGATCGTCACTGGCAAGTATAATCAGTTTATGCAACAAGGATTCATTTCTACAAATTTCTTTAGACTACTAATTGCGATATCTTTTTGAAAAGCATTCAATATTTCTTAAATCTGAATAGTTATGCGTTCACTGTTTCAGTTAGGTCTTATGGGACAGAAGGACGGCAGATTGATGGTCCTCAGATCCTTCCAAGTGATAAGGTGTATGATTATATTGTGTTTAGAGGCAGTGACATCAAGGTAATGAAGATGTATTTAATTACATTTCCATCTCGCCGCTCCTCATTTGGCCAACTACCAATTCATGATCGTATCTGTTTTATAGCTTTAAAAATTTTAATGTAATGTTTCCTTGTTCTATGATAGATCAATTTTCCCCTTCGTTCTCGTGCATTTGAATTTCAAGATTTAACATAGAGAGTCTCAAGAGGATGTGAACTTGCTCATGTTTGTGGCTTTCATCATTGTTGTTATTGTTATTATGATCAGTATCATTACTAACGTAGAGTATTAGTAGAATAGTAGAAGTAACCATAATAATAATATTTGTAGGCATCATATGAAGATAAGAATTAAGATATCCGTTTGGGATGACCATATCAATTGAGGCCCCAGTTGATCGTGTTGTTTTGTGAAAATAAAAAAGATAAACTGTTTCAGAACCCATTTTTTATTATGCTGCAGTTAAATGGATGATATAGAAGTATGCCTCTTTTTTTTTTTCCTTTCCACGAGGGTAGCACCAAAGATAGGCATCCTAACAGACAGATTTGATAAGTTGGTGATTGTCATAAACTGTTACTGTTATAGATGCGTTATATCATGTTTCTGTTGCAAGTTCAAAACATTTTCTTTGACCTCCTTTTAGTTATCTATCACAAGATTTTTGTTACATCCCTCTTCCTCCGTCCTATATATACAAAATTAGAGAGCTTTCTTTTAATATTATTTTTCCCTTTGATCTTTAATATATAGTTTATCGTATACGGGGTGATTTCAGCATATCTAGTTGCTCCTCGCCCTTTTGAAACTTTAGTTAGAACTCCTTTAGGGTTTGCTCAGAGGCGCCAAACTGTTCCCAAGATATGAAATCGTTTTATTTCTCACTTAAACCCTCGATGTCTGCGAGGCTATATCTACATCAACCCTAAGCTTATTTCCACTCAATATTAATTTCTCTGTTGTAAAAAAAATCAATAGTAACACTGCAACTTTAAAGGTATGTGTGCTAGTTTTTGGTGGACATTTTTCAACTTTTACAACTTGATTTAGTTTAAACCCATTTTACAAAAGGCTTTTGTCATACCAGGATTTGCAACTCAAGGCCCCCTCACTTGCTGAAACAGACCAGCGGGTTCACGGTGGCTCTGCGATCCAGGTAGTCTTGTTTGACTATCACATAAGGAATTAACACAATTTTACATGAAAAAGGTCTTATTTAGCTTTTCACGTGCAGTCAAATCATGCTGGGCTCTTGACTTCATCACTGCCTGCTTCACTTGAAGGTGAAACATACTCTGCCTCAAAACAGTGTCAGGATACTCTGTCTTCTAATGGACAGTATCCTAGCATGTTGTCTTCATATCAATCTGTAGCTGCAGGTACCAAAATACATAGTCATTCAACTGCCCATGAAAACTACTGGTTCTCTGCCATTTTCCATACCGGAAGGAGCCAAAAAAATGCAAATCACTTCATATTTTCCAGTCTCCGAAATACTCTACTTATCTTAAGCCATCCACTCTGTCATTTCAATTGACAACAGAGAACCAATGGACTCTTCAAAATTATTCAAATATTGGCATAGGATTTACTAAAAACTTAGATTGTGCATGTGCTGATCCCTTACTATTTCTCATGTTTTGCACGCCCACAATTTTTATCAGCTAATAGATATGTAGTTCACAGCCATGTTCTGTTTTTTTATAATGTTTTTTCACCATCTCATTCAGCAGCAATGACATCTACTTCTTCCTTTCCTCCAATCTGGCAAGAAATAGGCAACACCAGAGCTCAAGTTTCGGGTAAACCTATATTCCACCCAGCAACAAATCTTTCCAGGCAGTCTGTTCTGAATACCGCACCTTCTTTGTCGGGTTCAGGTCCGTTGCCTGCATTGCCTCCATCTTCATTAACTCCTTATCAATTATCACAGTCTGGAGCAGGCGTGCATTCCTCCACAAAGAAACTATGTGTTGATGCTAGGAACTTTGGTGCTTCTGCACATTTACCTTGTAATCCTTCAGCACTAATTGCTGTTTTAGAACGTCAACTACCCTCGTTACCATCTCTGAGAGAAACACCTGCTCAACAGGTTTGGTGCTTTATACATTTTTCACTTTTTTTTATATAACCGACTTTCTTATAGTTTAACCACAGCATTTGGTCCATTTGTTTTGTATAGCATGCTGATTTATACCAAATAATTAGGTATGCAGTTTACACCCTGCTTAAACAGCAGTTGGGGTATTTTTGGTTATAACCTAAAAATTACTTCAAATGTCAAGGCATAATTGTCAGAAACAGATGCAACAGAATATTAACTGTAATATATATATATATATATATATATATATGTATATATATAGCAAATATCATATGGAACTGATAAGGAAGGTTAAATCAATGTCTTGCATATAGGTCTAGGTGGTGAGTTAGTGAACCATGAGAACACGTTAGATGTGCGAAGCATAGGGCTGATAGTTTCCCTTTCTTTTGATCCAACCAATTTTTTGCTTTGGTAGTGAATACCTACTAAAAGAAAAAGAGGAAAACTGGTATGCATGTTACTTAAAGAGATTGTATGTATATGACGTCAGAGAATTTGATATACATGTTACTTAAAGAACTTGTATCAAAATGATAAGAGTTATAGGAGACAGGATCTGTAGCAAATATTTGAAGAGATGATACTTCTTTATGAATCAATTACATTTTAAAAAAAATTGTAACTTCTAAATTATTGTGGTCCTGAGCTTCTGATTGCTAGTGCATTGACATAGTTGTCGTCTCAATACTCTTAAAATTGTAGTTTACTGAAGAGTTTGATTTTCAAGCAATGAATGAGAAGTTTAAGAAGGATGAAGTATGGGGTTATCTTGGAAAAGCACAGCAAATGGATATTTCAGAGGTTGCAGCGGATAATGCAATTGGTATTGTCTTGGGGGATAAAGAGAGACGTTGGGCCATACCTACCGCTAAGGTATGGCTTTGAATGATATCTAACATTTCATTGTTTATGTTATGATGTTGTCCCAATCCACTCTTCTGTTGGTTTTCCTTTTGCAGCCTGCGTATAACAAGAATGAATTCTTCGATACAATTTCCTGCAATTCTCTTGAACGTGGATCAAGGAATGGACATAACCGGTTCTCCGGGCCAAATAAATTTGACGCTGAGGTTTTGTCTCGTGTTGTTTTTCTTGTATGTTTTCTGCGGCAGACAAGTTTAACTGTTAGCTGCTTGTGTTTGTTTTTGCAGACAAGCGGAGCCGGAGACCTTCCACAAACGGGCAATCTTGGTTTCGATGGCTATGGCTATGGCGTTAGACGTGGTGAGAATTTCTGGGGCTCAAATAATAATTTTGGACGGGGATACAATTATGGTGGGAGAGGGCTTGAAGGGTGGGAGAGCATGCCATTCTAAATTCTTAGCCACTTGTAATTATTAGAAATTTTCTGGTCCTATTGTTATTGGATTGTGACATATGCACATATCTCCCTGTAATTATTTCCTTCACCTCCACCTGTTGGCTGTTGCACTGGGGGGAGGGGAGGATGTGGTAGACTTCTGTAACTTTTAACATATATTTGATGCATGATTTTATGTATATCTATGAGAATTTATGAACAATATTCTGTCATGGAATACACCTTTTAATCTCGAAGTTGAACTTGAAACTAAAGTAATGAGAAGCATTATATGAAGGTAACGTTTCCTTGCTGACTATCCTTTGCTTTTGTCTATTTCCTTTTAAGGTTTGCTTTTGAAATTCTTGTTAAATAATGTTTTTTCTTTAGTACGCTGAGTGGGATGAAGGGATTCAAACTCATGATCTCTTAGTTAGAGATAGAAGTCAATTATAGCTATAATATTTTATTTATTTATCAACGCACTTTTTAAAAGTTAAAAATAAAAATTTCAATACTCTGTGGCTTGCTGAAACCTAATTTTCTGATCAGACTACTTTCCACGTCGAGTCCACTTTGTGACGTGAGATTGCTAGTACATAAACTGTGGGTTTTATCTTTGGATGTTTGATTATGATATTGGTCATGGCAGGCATGCAATTTGGGACCCTTATTCAATCTCTACTTGTGCAACTTGCTAGAAACTCGGTGAATTTTCAACTGGTGCACCCTATTCTTATCAATCGCTCTCTTCTCTCGATTTAAGGACAAAAAATGTTCTATTTCATCTACATAGATAGTAAACTTATAAAATATCTCCTTACATGAATTTTGATAGCTATTAGCTTGTTTCTAAACTTTTTAGGAGTTTCCACAAGAATGGCTTATAACGATGAATCTTAATTTTGAGACGGAGACTGAAACCATAAATAATGTTTACTTTTTGAGGGTACTGTACAAATTAAAAGAGAGAGAAAGGAAAAAGAAAAAAAAAATGCTTGAACTGTAGGTAGCGTGGGGCATTTTTAAAAATATTTATCAACCAATAAATGCCAAGAAAAAAAGGAAAAAAAAAGAGGAAATATTTTTCAATGATGTATAACTTCTCGTGTTATCCAATTTGTGCATGTATTTGACTGGGCCCAGTGACGTGGCTCCTCCTTCCAATGGCGGCCGAGCCTATGGTGGACCCTCCATTAATGAGAACCAATAAGGCTGCGCCAACAAATATTCCATCTTTGACCACATAGCATTCTCCCTCCACCCACCCCTTCCCATACTCCTGCCTCCTGCTCATGCTGGTTGCTCCACTCATCATCGCCACCGCAATTCCGAAGCTGACCCTGGTATTTCATTTTTCTTAACCATTTTAGCCCCAATTCTTTTTAATTTGATTAAATTATAGGTTTAGTATATTAAAGTTTCTGAATTATGTCTAATAGATCTCCAAACTAGTACCTGTCATAGACTTCAAATTTGATAATTAGTATATGTTTTTTTTAAAAAAAAGATTTATTTGAAGAATAAAGTAATTTGAATTTTACAATATACTATTTAAAGAGAATATTTTAAAAAGGAAATTTGGAAAAGTTATTGAAAGATTCCTTTTAAAAATAGCTATGGTTGTAGGATAAGTTTAAAAATTACTATGTATTCTTTTGGGAAAAAATTACTCTATTCTTCAAATACTTCTCATGCTCTATTATCAGTTTATTGTTAATAATACTATTTTGTAATTTACTAGATCTTGGATCCTATGTATAGGAATTTGAACCACCTCAAAGCTGGCCACGTTCTTTTAGCATATTATTTTTATATTATTCGCTCTCCCTCCAATGATCATCTCTTCTAAATGCAATTCAAACAACCTGGAATACAGATCACTACTGTTCATTTTAAATCTTATCGGTTGTTTTTTTCACAAACTTCCTTTGAAAAATTGTCTAAAAAATTGAGCCCACTGCCAAAATATGTTTATATTTTCAGGTCTTTTGTTATTTTTCTTTTAAAACAATTGGTTTGTTAAAACATATTAATTTCCAAAAAAAATTTGAAAAGTAAAGAAAAGAGAAGGAAGATTAGTATGGAGAAATAATTACCCACCAAGAGATGAGAAGGGTAGTTGAAAGCAGAGGCCTTTTGACGCTGCAACTCTTTCTTTTCTCTTTTGGCCAATAGCTATGGCAGATTATGGTGTTTCCAATGATCTGAGCCATCACCAAACAGACCAAACTTGCAACTCCCAATTTGAATGCTTCACTTTCAGGCAGGAAACAGAATCTGCCGCTCAACTTCAGGTCTTTCTTCTATGGAAGATTCCAGTTCCGATGATCAAGGGAAATTTTTGTAAGAAAAACTAATCAATTAATATTAGAAATGAGAAAGAAAATGAAAGAAACTTACTTTTGTTCTGTTGAATTCAGCAGCCATACATGATGCAAAGGAGACGAGGGTGAGGAATGCGACAATGGAAAAACTTATTGCGAAGCCCGATGGGTGCTTTTCCATGGTGGCCAGGAAACTCGAAGAAGAAGAAGTGGGATTTTAAATCATGGTATTGGAAAACGAAAGACTCTAGAAGGTTAGTGGTGGAAAATCCATCATTTTCTCTCTTGACTTGTGGAAGTTGGGACTTTGTTCCAATCAAATCTCTCGTTTTTCATCTTCTTATCGCTGGTCAAATACAGAGATAAGAGAGAGAGAGAGAGAGAGAGCCAACTTTCCCACTCAATTTGACAAGTTTCCAAGTGGGTAATTTGATTTAGATATTAAAATCTGAATAGATGAAGGTTGGACTCCGAATTTTTTGCAATAATTTATTTGTTTTTCTGACTTGAAGGATACACCCTTTCCCAGATACCCGTTTACCTGAAACTTATCAAACACAGGAAAAAGGATTGAAATTCCACCGCATGAAAAACCAATGGGAGGGGGGGGTTGACTAGTTGTGAAAAGAAGGCATGTTGTGGGCATGTGGGACCCTGTGAGTGATGACTTAACTTGGGAGAATGGAATAATGAGAGCCTTTGATATCAGATGCTTCAAATTAAATTAGGATGCTTCAACTTCAATTGTTTCGTCTTAGAAAAGTTCCTCAAAGATGCCTCACCCAGTAACCCTCTTCTCTTTGCCCCACTTCCATTTCATTATCCTCTTTACAGAGACTTTGAGTTGGTAGCTACACATGGACTTGTATGTATACAATATATATAATATACATACATCTTTTTCCCAATCTTTATGCAACTGGGGGGGTGCTTTCTTGTACTTGTCTCTTTCAAACCAGAGACCCAAGATTATAACGTCTAGGGGATTTACAATTTGGTTTGGGACCCACTAAACAGTAATTGTTTATGACTTTGTAGTAAATACTAACTATAAGAACCAAAGAGAGTTTAGAGTCTGTATAATAGATACTTCAGCTTGAAGCTTGTTTTTAATAGGTTTCTAATTTTTAATTTTGTGTTCAATAGTTCTTTGAATTTATTAGGCATCAAATTAAAATTTCAAGGATCACAGCTCTAAACTTGTAATTTATCCTTTGTGATTATGGATAAGTGTAGCTTAAATTGTTCCTATTTTCAATAAATTTGGTTGAATAATTCTAAATTTATAGTAGATTTAGATTGTATTTTGAAAAGATGATTCATACAATTAAATAGTCACTTTGATTTCTTAGAGGATTTGTCTGAATAAACGGTTTCATTTCTGTCTAATATTCTGTGAAGTACACTATTCCTTATATTATTTAACCATAAATATTACTCAAGAAATGAGCATCAAACATTTCCTTCACCACAGTTCATACATACGAATAACATGTTATGTTATGCACAGATTTTTACATCAATTCCTCTTCCTCTTGAGAGTATCAAGGACAGATTGTGCAGTGCAGTAAGCAATAGCCTGAACAGTAACCATTGGATTCACTCCCAAAGCAGTTGGAAAAACGCTGGAATCAGCAATGAAGAGCCCCTCCATTTCCCATGTCTCTCCTCTCTGATTCACCACAGAATCCTTCGGCCCAATTCCCATTCTGCAACTCCCCATCTGGTGCGCCGAACAGATTGGCGTCGCCAAGTCATTCAATGGCCTCGAACTCTCCTCTTTCACAAACTTCTCATACTCACGGTAACTCACTTTCTTTACCTTTATGCTCCTTCCCTTATTATGGTGGGTTCCTATTTCCTCTGCCCCAGCCGCGGCCAAAATCCTCAACGCCTTCTCCACTCCTTTCTGTAGATTCTCCTCATCCGCACCATCCATTTTGTAGCTGATTGAGCTTGAAGATCTGACTGTTCCTGACCCTTTATCTCTTGCCAATGCGAATACATGGGCTGTCCTCGAAAACTTGCACATACGGTGTTTGAAATTTGTCCCTGAGACCCATGGCATTAAGATTGAGAAGAGTCCTGGGTGTAATGCTGGCGTTTGAATCACAGCTCCTCCATAACCAGGTTCGTTATCAGCTTCTGTCCCTATGTTACACATTGCTGTCATTATCCCACCTTCGTAGCTTTTCTTGCCTTCCTCTGGCCATGCTTTATCATTATCTGTCAAGGAAGAATGTAAGTTGGTGAATTTAGATCTAATTATCAACTTGGAAAATTGAAATCAATGGAAGTGTAATATGATATTCTAATACTTGTTTGATAGGTTTAAATCCCATTCGACTCTAAGATTTTAAACTTTCAAAAAGTGCTATTTTTGTTCTTGCTATTAGTTTAGAGCACTTATTACCTCAACACTCACAATCTATGTGGTTCTAATGCATGTCTCACACACTCGAAGCCACGTTATTTTTCAATTTAGGGGGTGTATGAACAAGTAGGGCACTTTTGGTACAGATGTTGAACAAAAAATAAAGAAAAGGATGAATTCTTGAAAAGTTTACGGACTAAAATAGATATTTTAAAAAGTTTAGGGACTAAAATAGAATAAATTTGAAAGTTGAAGGTCAAAATGAATCTTTTAAAAGTTTAAGAACTAAATCTGGAAGAGAGACCAAAATGGGATTTAAACCAATAGATATTTTCACGCACCAGTTTCTGCAGGGAAGTGACCCCACGCCATAGTTACTGGATGAAGATGCAAGTGTTTGCCAATATTTGGGTTTCTCAAGCCACTTCTTTTCAACAATGGAGGAGTACTGAGAGCTCCACATGCTACTATAGTCACCTTGGACTCAACCAAGCACATCTGCTTTGCTCCGGATTGACACCCAAATTCAAAGGTGATGCCTTTTGCTCTTTTGCGTTCGCTCCCGTCTTTCTTCTCCCACATGATTCGAACAGCTTCGCAGCCCGGAAGTATAGCGCCATTTCCTGACCTCACCAAGTCGACCAGCCATGTCTCTGCCGTGCCCTTCTTTCTCCCATTTTTGCAGCCCAGACAGCACCAGCCACAGTAATGATCAGCAGGTGAGTTTCTAGGAATATTGATAGCATGGTAACCCAATTCCTCGCACCCTTTTCTTAAAACTGCATTGTTAAAACCTTCACTCTCAATTTCTGACTGAACTCCCATTTTCTTGCAGACAACTTCCATTGCTTCTTTGTACAAATTGCTGCTAAAGAGGTCCAATTCATAAACATCTGACCATTCTCTCGTCACATGGGTTGGTGTTTGAAATGAAGCTGACCAATTGACTGTGGAGCCTCCACCAACAGTAGAGCCTGCAAGTACAAGCACATTCATGTTATCAGTTGCCAGTAAGCCACTTGAAAGGTACATTTCTTCCATTGCTTGTCCTTCAAGGAGAGAGAGATTTGTTCTGGCACAATAGCTTCCTTTCTCTAATACAAGCACTTTGTACCCTGCATTGGCTAGCACCCCAGCCACCACTCCCCCGCCCGAGCCAGACCCGACCACCACTGCGTCGCACTTGATCATCATTGAAGGGCTGGCGGTTTTGGTCCTCGGGGGAAGAAAAGCAACTGGGAATCCAAACTTTCGAAGTGCTTCGGCAGCGACTCCTCGTCGTTGATCGATATTGACAATGCCTCTGAAAAGAGGTCCGTAAAGCTCTTCTTCTCTTGATCTGCCATTTTCATTCAGGTTTGATGCTTCTGACTGCCTGGTTTCGAGTTTAAATTGGGGGTCGGGTCCGGGGTAGTCGATTGCTTTCCATGATATGTTGTTCATCTTCTCATCAACCTGATCATTTTCATGCTCATTGATCAATTTTAAAAGCCATACTACACAACAAAGATCTTGGAACTAAAGGAAATCTTTTGTTTGTGTTGTGAATCATTGCTTCACTAGTATTTTAATACATTCATACAAGTATCCATCCATATCCATATACATGTACATGTGTGTGTGTTAATACTTAATACAGTAACCTTTAAAGGCCAACATGAGTTTTATTCGGTGGTAATTGGAATTTGTCTCTGACCAAGAGATCATGAGTTTGAATCATCCATCCACCATTTTGTTGTAAAAAAAAAAACCCTTAAATCGATCTATTATTTATGCAGACTGTTAATTGCTACATAATTAATTGAATTGAATTTATTACAATTCTGAGTAAAAAGATAAAATTTATTTTTAACATTTCTTCGGATACTTATCAAAACTTTATTAATCAAAGTGTAATACCCAAAAGTGTTTTTAAAAGGTTATTTTGCTAAATGAAGAATGTTAAGAAAGTACAGTTCAATAATTTCTTTTCATCCCAATTATACTGGATTATTGAATTTTCATGAATACCTCTTTTTCAAGGTCAAATTATCTTAAAATTTGAAGAGCAAAATAGAAAATCTTTTTATGACTAAATTATACGAACAGTCGATATATGGTGTTTTGATTTTTGTTTATTTTACTAATAGTCTTTTGATTTGTTTAAAAAATCTGAAGTGTTAGGCAATTTAAGATAAAATGCTTAACAGAATTAAAAGATTGAGGAAAAAAAAAACTTTGGAAGGATGTCTAATAAGTTTTTGAATTTTAAAAGTGTCTAATCGATTTTGAACTTTAATGTTGTGTCTACTCGTCCTCGAATTTCAAGACCTATTTAATAGGTCTTATATTTTCAATTTGTTATTCAATAACCTTTTATTTTGTATCCAATAAAATGTAGATATATCAGACAATTATAATATATAGGTCTAATTTTAAAAATTTAGAAATTTGTTAGATATTTTTTAAAGTTCAAACCCATGTTTCTTATAAGGCAACATTTTCTTTGAATAAAAAGAAGTCAACCATGTGGTTGGGAAGTAATTTATTTAATAATAAAAGTGAGATGAAAATGACAAAATTCTGGTGAAGAAACTTAAATAGATGGCTTGCTTTGGGGTATTGGAGCATTTATTGATGTCAGGTTGTGAGTTAGTAACTAAAGCCAGTTGAGAGTTAGGGATATACTCAAAAAGTTTTTAATGGATAGGCTTCTTTCTAACTTGCACTTGCATGCATTTAAAAATTTCTCCTCTCTCTCTCTCTCTCTCTCTCTCTTAAATTCTTTTGTGCATATTTTTTTTTATTACACGTACTTTCAGCCTTTTTACACTTGTCACTTTACACTAATTACTTGGTGCAAAATTTTACTTTTTTGGTGGCAAATACTCGGCTCCGCATACAACAATTTTGTACTCGTTATCATTAAATGTTTGATAACTAAAAGTGAGAAATATAAAAATATAAATTTTTTTAAACATTAAGTACTTCCTACTATCAATCATCAATCTTGTACTCACTACATTATATAAATGTTTGACAACTAAGAGTGTGAAATACAAAAATATGAATTTTTTACAAAAATAAATAACATAGTCATGCGAATGGGAAGAAAAGTATATTTTAAAAAAATAATGAGTTGTAACTTTTCAATGATGGCGAGCTAAGTATTTTTTTCTTTTTGATTATCTCACATTATCTCAAGCACAAATTCATATAGTCTCCCTAGTGGCTGGCAAATGCCAACCGAGAGGGGAGAAGCTTGATTATTTAAAATTTGAATTTAGTGATTATTTTATGTTAAAAAGGATTTCTAATAGTAAAGTTTAATATCTGCTAAAAAATAAATAATAAAGTTGAATAGATTTTCTAATTTCTAAAATTAGGAATATATTTAGTCAAGAAGAAATAAAAGTTCAAGTTTTTTAACAATAACAATTTTATTTTTTTAATTTTGTGTGTTTCTAGAACTAAGCTGGTCGATCAATTTCTTAAATTTAAAATCTGATATATATCTTTTTCCCTTCAAAAGATGGAGAACTGTATATTTTAATCTCTTTATTTATTAAGTATAGCTAATTAAAAAACATTGATAGAAAATAGATTTGAAAAGTTAGTAGTAGACATAATTTTTGAAAACTCAAGTAATTACTAATAAAAAAAAAAAGTAAAAATAGAGTTTTAGTTAAAGAATCATGAATACTAGGTAGTGACTTACCTGAGAGAAGAAAGCAAGGAGAGAGAGGATCTTGATGGTTCTGAAGAACATTCTGTGGAGAAGAAAAAAACTTAGGGACCACGAGAGAGCTATCTTTTCTCTCTTGTTGTGAGAAAGCTTTGAAAATGTTTGGAAGTATGGGAAGTGGTTTGAAAGGCTTGCATTCCCACATAGAATGTATGTCCCATACCATGTTGACAACATCCATAGGCTCAATCTCACCATCCATTTCTTTGGATGTCTCACTCTCTCACTTATCATCCCTCCCACCTGCATAACACATTACATCTCATCATCAGTGTCGGAGCTAGAAATTTTGTGTTTTAGTCCTCCATATTCGAGTATTTTTTCGATTTAGTCCTTTATGTTTAACGTTTTATTTCTATTATACCCTTTTCGTCGTTAGCATATGGCATATAATTAAGCATACGTGTAGCATGGTAGAAATTTAGAGGATTCTCAAGGGCTTAATTCTTCTCCAAATTTCTACTCAACTCATATTGCAAGGTAAATTACTTAACTTCCTATCCTCTCATTTAACACAAAAAAATAAAAATAAAAATAACCTCGATAATAGATTTAGTCCTTTATATTTAACGTTTTTCTATTATACCCTTTTCGTTTAGCAGATGGTATATAAGAATATGTGTAGCATAATAGAAATTTGACGGAATCTCAAAGACTTAATTATTCTCCGAATTTCTACTCAACTCACCTAGTATTATGTCGTAAATTGGTTAACTTGCTAACCTTATTTAACCAAAAAAAGAAGGAAAAAAATACGTAATTGAAAGATTTTGGAATATAAGGGACTATAATGAAAATTTTGAAACAATATGGACTAGAAAATAATAAAACATATATTTATCTTTTAATTGAATTTAATATAAAACATATGATCTATAACTACATGCATGTTGTGTGATGCGATCTTACCCGCTCGGGAGTTCCGGCGGCGGAGGCGGAAGTCTGGAAGAAGGCGGCAGTGGCAGTGGCGGCGGAGCTTTCGAAATTGGAGTGACCGGAAGTGGCGGCAGCGACGGAGGGCAAGAATGTGTCGCAGAGAGCGGCGAGAGACTCCATCTCGGCGGCGGTGAGGGAGTTGTTGTGGGAGTACTTTGCATGTTGTGGATTTTGCACCGGTGATCCGTTGAGGATCGTATCGGCGCCGCCGTGGAGCTCTACGATGCAGTGGCGGCGGTGTTGCTCGCCGTCGCCATCGCCGCCGGAACTGGCCGCCGCCGTCGCACCGCAATATCCCATTTTTGGCTTCTCGTGGCTTACTTCTCAGGTAACAGAGCTAGTTTCAAAGGAAGGATGAGTAATGCTTCCGTTGCCTTTCTTTCAATTTATGTAAATATTAATTAATGATAATAAATGAATAAAGCTTTTGGAGAGAGAACACGTGGCGCAATGCAAGGAAAGAACCAACTTTTTGACTTTTGAGAATTTTGATTTAGACTAGGGGTTGACTTAGGAGTTAGTATCGTATTTATGTTAATCGTAAAGCTAAAATTATATTTGATTTGAATATCATATCTTAGATGTGTAGGTGGGAATTGAAATTTACCACCTATTTAATAGTTAAGCTGACATTGATATGATAAATTTATATTTGATTTGTGTGTTATTATATATATATAAAAAATATATCTTTTGAATTATTGTATTACATTTTTATAGGTCATGCTCATGTAGATGCTCATCTACTAGTAGAAGTTGATATCTAACCATTAGAAAAGACAATATTTAATATGACATAATCACAATATCTACAGGTCAAGTTAGTGTAAGCTGATAACTTAAAACGACACTAAAAAGCAAAAGGTACAATAAACTGTTCGAAATTAGGATTGGGAAGTACTGAGTGAAACTTATATGCTCGTTGAAAGAGCATGTTGTTTCTTTATATAGAGGTAATTTGGATGGGAACGTTTTATTTATTCACATGTTAGGAAAAATACTTGCTCTTCAACAATAGTTCCTATGTTCTACAAAATTGTGCACCTAATAAAGAGACCTGCGATCCCATAGGAAGACATCCCGATCCCTTGTTCATGTTGGCAAAATTTTTATATATATTTAAAATACTATTTTAATATTGTATCATTTCATATATATATTTTTTTGGATGAATGACTAACAAGTATAAATGATTTGGTTAATGTTACTCTCCAAAGTAATCGCTTCTAAGAAATTAATCATACCTAACCCAAATAATAATTTAAGAATATACTTATTGCTGTGAGATTATAATTTATAAAATAGCACTTATCATTCTTTTTGAGGGAAAAAAACAATATACTAAACATGACATAAAGCCAAAAGGAAAAAGATTTAGGGCTGGTAACTTTTAACATTTCAGGTTAAAATACCATTTTTTTACCTCAATTTTGAATTTAGTTTCTATTTCATCGCTCCGAATTTTGAGTTTAGTTTCTATTTGAGTATCTAAGAGTTCGTTTGAAAACATTTTTATTTCTTATTTTTTCTTCTTTTAATAAAAAAACATTGTAACATAGCTATTTTCATTCTTTATTTGTTCTTTGTTTATTTTTATTGAAAAAAAGAAGGTAACCATTAAATTTTAAATCAAATATTTTTTTTAAATAAATATTAATTTTTTTATGTTATTATTATTTTTTAATATTTATCACGCATTTTATAAGTCAAGAATGATAAACAATATTTTCTAGTTATGTTTTGGAAAAAATTTTAAATAATAACCCGATATAAGGAACTTGATTTTATTGTTTGCAAAATTTCGATACGAGACTAAGTAAAAATCCAAGGGCAAAAGTGTAACAATTTGAAAGTTATAGGCCAAATGAAAACTAAACTCAAAATTTAAGAACTTGAAACTAAATTCAAAATTTATGGGTAAAAGTGAAACATTTTAAAATCCAGAGACCAAACAAAAATTTATAAAAAATCTTTCTACTTTTTAACATGAGTTGAGTTAGTGGTAATTTTAAAGTGTAATTTTAAAGGGTAATCTTTCTACCCTATAAAAAAAAAACTAAGAAATTAGAATGACTATTAAGAGATGATATAAATGATAAAGAAAAAAAATGAAAGAAGGAGAGAAAACAAATTCAAATCAATGTGATATATATGGTCGTTTGCAATAAATGCTATTTATTTATTAGGTACATCCACCATCTCCCGCCAGAGGAGAAATTCATTAATTTTAATGTTGGTGTTGCAAGGATTTTTTTATTATTATAATTATTGAAAATTTTATTTTATATTTAAGTGTTGTTATATAATTATTTTACTTCTAGTTTCCTGTTTTAAACAATTATATTTTGTTTTTGTTTAATTTCATTAGTAAGCTTTTTTTCTCTTAAACACGTTGAATTGTGAGTCAAATTTCAAAATTCAAGATAAGTTTTTTCTTCAAAATTTGGTCTATATTTTGAAAAAGTTATAAAAACTACCCAACAAAATAAAGAAAGACTAATAAAAAAATATTTCTAAGCTTGATTTTTAAAAATAGAAAGACTGGTTGATTTTAAAAAGCTTCATTTTTAAGTTTTATATCCTAAGTTTTATTTTAAAAAATGTTGCTTTATATTTATTTTTCAAAGTTTTTTTTCCGGAGGATTACTTTTCAAAAGTTGTTTGCGAGAAAAAGAGAATATTTTCAACAACCGTTATACGTGTGAAAATCATTCTACTTTGATTTTCTCCTTTTTTTTATATATTTTTTTATAAAGATAATATTTAATATAAAGTTCCCACTTCCCATATCTTTACAATAATTATTAGGATTTTATCAAATTTGGCCTATTTTGAATATGAAGGAGACATTTAGCCTTTTATTTGGAAATAGACAAAAAATTATTTAAATAAGACGAATCAATACTCTTTATGATAATATTCCAATTAGATCACACGCATTCAAATATGGGATTTAAATATAAACTTCCAAACGAACAAAAAAAAAAATCAAACTTTACTTAACTAGAAAGTGATTTATGTGATAATTATTCAAGAAAGAAAAAGAATAATAAACTTTTACCATAATAATTTATGTAAATTGTAAAGGAACTTTAAGGGGCGAACATAAGGAAATTAGTGGGGAAATGGATAAATAAAATTTATATAAAATAAATAAATAAAAGTAAAAGTAAGTTCTAAAGAAAGATTTTTCTTGGACTTTTAACTGTAAAATATTGTATTGAGGAGAAAAAAAAAACTCTATAATACGGTCTCAAATGNTATTTTTAAAAAATATCACTTTGAAAATAAAAAAGTAAAAATAAATATAAAAATATGCCCCTAAAATGCCATAGGTTACGTTCTCCACATCCTTTTTTATTTTTTAATCATCATTTTCAAAATATAAGTTTTACCACATATTTGTTGACGTCACCTCATTATCAAATGCCCATTCATACCCCTCCTTCCTCCTTCCTTTGAATCTCTCTTCTTGTCTTTGTACCCATTTTTCATCTCCTTCTCTCTCATTTTCTGTTGTTCTTGAAAACGTTCAATTTTCTTGTTATCTCTTTTAAATCACCTGCTACATCCTCTCTCTACTACTAAAAATAGGGTTTTTATCTTGGTTCTCTCTAAAAAATAAAAACCCTACCGGCCGCCTCCCTCTACCCATCGCACGTCCTTCATCTACGCCTTCATCACACGCTCCACCAAGATCGATTGCTGTAGAAGCTTGCCGCCATCAGTACTATTGTCTGATCCCAGTGCATAAGCCGACCGAAAGCGAGAGATCGAGATCGAGAGCCAGAGCGAGTGAGATTGAAAACGAGAGGTTTTTCTTTGTTTTGTTTAAATTTTGAGGTCCAATAATGGAGTCGGAAAAAAATCAAGAGGGAGAACAGCAGAATATTAGGATAAGAAATAAATGGGAGAGAGAAGAGAAATAAGGATAAAAAATCATAAAAGAGAGGGAGGGGAGAAGATGAAAAAGGGGAAGAGAAAAGAAAATTTTGGCGGAAGGAGGGAGATTGAGGAGAGAGAATGAGTAAGAGAGAGGAGGGAAAGGAGAAGAGAGGAAAATAAAGTGAGTAAAAGAGAGCTGAGGGGCAGTAAAGTAATTTGGTATTCACACGTGTTTAGAAAATCGATGCCTTTTTAAAATGTCTATTCATCCAAAATTTCCTTCTAAGTTGTTTATATCTAACTCATTTTCGATGTTTATAGGCGTTTTAATCTTTAACTTTTTAAATTGGTCAAGGTCGACAAACCGACTCGACCCGACCGATAGAAATCAACCAAATCGGGTCAATCGATTTTTTGGTCCAAGGGTGTATGGTGAGCCGGTCAATTGGTTTTGTAAGTGAAATTATTATTATTATTATTATTTTGTTTTTTGGAATGAGAAAACTCAGAAACATCATAATAAAGCACCTTCATACGAACATGCAGCCGAGGTCTACAAATTTTAAATTCATTTCCACACAAAATAAAATAAATAATCGTTTCCTTCTTTCAGCGAGTATGCAAAATTTACGACTCATTAAGTATTTTAATTATAAACATTCACAAACAAAAATATTACAATCTGAGAAATTATTAAAACATAAAAAGACTAAATTGAGAGAGTATTAATATACTTAACCATCTCTATTTATAGACAAATCATAAAACATATAATATAAACATTATCATCATCCTTTGTGAGAAATAAAATGAAAGTTGTAAGTCATTACTAAAATTATGTTATAATTTAATCAAAATGTGGATTATTATTTTATCATTTATATATCAATATCTATTAATTGGTGCAATTAAAGTTTGAAAAGTCGATATCCATCGTGGATGTAAACAAATAATCTTTCACATTTTTAATAAGTTAAAATATATATATATATATATATATTTTGCAAAGAGCTAAAATTAAATATCAATTCATCCCCATGTCAATCTCGGGCCTATATGAAATCTCGACTTGAATGAAAATTTAATCCAATTGCAATTTCAATTTTGGCTCCTCATTCATCATCTTCACCAATTAATAAATATTTGACAACATCGCAAGTTCAAAAAAAAAATAATAATAATAATTTAACTTACGTCAATATCAATCATTGATCAAAGTGTTATGCTTGTGATCACTTGTTAATATAATATTTTTTCATATATATGTGTGTATTTTTACATGAGTTGTTATATTTTCTGTCAATCTATTTATCATTTAAGTTGTTATATATATATATATATATTAGTAATGAGCACTGCATTTCACTCGTAAAGTGTATATATTATCCACAACTATCCATATAAATAGTTAAATATATAGAGATTAAAAAGAGAAAATGAAACACAATAACAAATAAAATTGCACGCATAACCAGCCTACAACCTATAAAAAAGGCATTTGTATATATGGTCTTTTAAACTCGTGCTCAATATACTGACCAATTAAGCATATATATGGTCATTAAGCTCGTGCTCAATATGCTGCCAATTAAGCTATGCTCAATTGAAAACCGATAATACTGTGCCTTCTGTCCATAAAAGCAATGAGTCGACT